TCTTCATTCTAGCATGAGGACTAAAACAATGAATTTCTGGGTTCCACAAGTATACCTTATTAACCAAGGAGATCTGTTCCATTTATTTTCTTAATCCATAACTAATTAACATTTAGAAAAGGTAACTAATAAACAATGAGTCCTCCAAAGCCTTGGGTTTCCTCTTATTCTAAAAGAAGGTGTTAGAAATGGAGCAGGTATAACCGCCTGTCAACCAGAAAGGACTTGTTTAGTGGCTCCTATCTTATCCTTACATGGCGTGCAGTGAAGGGGATACTACTTAATAGGTTATTATTGATTTGTTGTGTTTGTCTTACCTCCCCTGTGTCCCTGGGGGGGGTACAGTCCCTATTTTGAGCCCAAATCCCTCTGTCCCGATTTTCTATCTGAATGTTAGTCTTTTCTAGGAGCTCCATATTGTTGGTGTATCTGAATGTATAACAGAGCTCCACAGCAATTATACTCACAGTAATGTGCCTTTAAACTACAATAAATGTGTTTAGAAATCAGTCTGTTTAAATACAATACATTGTTTTGTTCTAAATCGCATAAAATGTTATTAGTAAGTGACCTTTTTCTCAGAACACACCCTCCCTTGGCCACATCTCTTACATCCCTAAAAGCAGTGTCCCTCTTAGTTTATTTGAAATACTGGGAGGTGTGGTGTTTGTTATTGCATTTGTCAATGTCCTGTTTGAGGGCACCTCTCCTGTAGCTGTATTATTCATCTAACAGTTTCCTACTATCACAAATATTTTGGTTTTATAGACTTTGTGCAAGGATACACTGGAGTTTACCATGGATAGTCGAGATGCATGTAAAGCTTTCTGGAAGACCTGTGTGGAATACCATGCTTTCTTTCGTCTATCTGAGGAGCCCAAGTGTAGGCCAAGGCCTTTCCTATGCAGCAAAGGCTCCAACTTCAGATACAGGTAACGTTTCATTGACCTGGTGATTGGTGCTTTAACTATGTAAGCTTCAAAAAAGATGGCTAACACATCTTTAACCCCTTAAGGACCACACTTCTGGAATAAAAGGGAATCATTACATATCACACGTCATGTGTCCTTAAGGGGTTCAAGGGCTTAAATACAACTTTATAGCATACATTACCCATATACAAGTGAGAAATAGAATATTGAAAGGGATCTTTGTGAATACCCAAACCTGGTGCTTTAGAATTAACTATTTTAAAAAATATACAATAACAACCTGTGTATACACTGAACAGCCACATCATTTAAACCACCTGCCTAATATCGTGCTGACAAAACAACTCTGATGTGTGAAGGCATACGCTCCACAAGACCTCTAAACATATCCTGTGCTATCCGGCACCCAGTGGCATACATACCGCGGTCTCAGGGGTCACAGCTGCGACCAGACCCCTGGAGTGACCCCTGCGACCGGGTACCAGCCATCATCTTTTGCCCCAGCCCACGTGACAAACTCCCGGGGTCACTGTCCAAGGGGTCCATCGGGTTGCCCATACTGTCAGGGCCACATGATGGAGATGGATTGTCAGGGGGCCCAGTCAGCGCTGGGCACTTTAACAGCGCGACCGGGCCCCATCTGATGAGATCATCACTGCTGGGAGAAAGTGACTGCACTTCACTCCTCCCAGCTAACACGCAGACCGCGCAGGAGGAAGCAGATTGAGTCAGAGTGGGAATTCGGACTCCCATCAAGCTGAGCCACCACTGGACCCCAGGGAAAGTTACCCTCCTGCACCTAAAAGGTAGGAAACAGGAGGGTGACTTAAACATTGTGTTTTGTTTGTATGTGTATGTTTGCATGTGTGTCGTGTATGTGTGTGTGGGTGGGTGGCCCACAGATTGTGTGTACACCAATGCTGGCACCAAGACATTAGCAGCAAGTTACAAGGTGCGGCCTCCATGGATCAGATTTGTTATTTCCACACATCCCACAGATGCTCAATCAAATTGAGATCTGGGGAATTAGGAAGCCAAGGCAACACCATGAACTGTGTCATTTTCCTCAAACCATCCCTGAACATTTTTTTTGTAGTGTGGCAGGATGCAGTATCCTGCTGAAAGAGGCCACTGTCGTCAGGAAACACTAATGCTATGAAGGGCTGTATGTGGTTTGCAACAATCTCTAGGTAGGTGGTACATGTCAAAATAACATCCACGTGAATGCCAGGACCCAAGTTTTTTTTTTTTTAGCAATTTGAGTTCCAGTAGCTCTGTGTGAACAGACCAGATGGGCTAGCCTTTGCTCCCTACATGTATCAATGAACCTAGGGCGCACATGACCCTGTTGATGGTTCACTAGTTGCCTTGCTTTGCACCACTTTTGGTAGGTACTAACCACTGAAACCAGGAACACCCCACAAGACTCGCCATCAAAGTCACTCATATCTATTTGGTAGTTGGTTTCCTTGCTTCCAACACATGAATTTCAAAAACAGATTGTTCACTGGTCTAATTTATCACCAGTCAGTGGTATTAATGTTGTTGCTGATTAGTGTATATTATCATACTGACTTTACACCCTGGATGCAAATATGTAGTGTATAAAACCCATGACATGGAATTGTAATGAACTGAATACCAAAGAGTTGGATAAGTTTTCAAATGAGGAAGTTTTGCCTTAAATTTGCAATTTAGTTTTTATTTCAATACATTTTGTGTATAATGAATAAACCAGAGTTTTAAAACCCAAGTTGTGGCTGAAATGTCTTACTAATGAATAATAAGCACCTTTCTCAGGAGTTGGGATAATTTCTTCCTGAGTGGAACTTCTAGCAAAGCAGTTTGTGGTGGGCTCAGCAGGGCACTTGATTGCCATATAATCAGAGTTAAAGGACCACTATAGTGCCAGGAAAACTCATTTTCCTGGCACAATAGTGCCCTGAGTGTGCCCCCTCCCTCAGGGTGCCCCTCCCGCCGGGCTCTGGGGAGAGGAAAGGGGTTAAAACTTACCTTACTCCAGCGCCGGGCGGGGAGCTCTCCGCCTCCGATCCTCCTCCTCCTCCTCTCCTCCCTTTCGGCTGGCTGCGCGCGCATTCAGATGGTCTCATAGCAAAACATTTACAATGCTTTCCTATGGACGCTGGCGTGTTCTCACTGTGATTTTCACAGTGAGAATCACGCATGCGCCTCTAGCGGCCGTCAATGAGACAGCCACTAGAGGATTTGAGGGCTGGATTAACCCATTTATAAACATAGCAGTTTCTCTGAAACTGCTATGTTTATAAAAAAAAAAAAATGGGTTAACCCTAGCTGGACCTGGCACCCAGACCACTTCATTAAGCTGAAGTGGTCTGGGTGCCTAGAGTGGTCCTTTAAAGACACACTGTAGACAACTGATAGAAGTGCGTATGGTGCCTGTAGTCCGTGGGGAATGGATCTGACATCACTACTTAACAGTTTACTCACTTTTTCCAGAGATGCTTGGGCCCTGGCAACCTGGCCTTCAACTATGATATGGCCAAATTGAAGATATGCTTACACATTGCATCATACCAATTCATCCAAGGGATTGGAGTAGTGATTGGCTGAGACACCCGACACTCCTAGCCTCTCACTGTCTGCAGCCCCATATACGGCAGTGGAGAGCAGAGCATACCTTTGCCATGAAGTAATTTTAAAGGCCAGACTGCAGGCTGACAGGGACCAAACTTTTCTGCTAAACAGCGAGTACACCCTGTAACAATGATGCGGGACCAAGCACTCACATACTCCAGGTACCATAACCACAAGAATTTGATCAGTTGTCCATCAACTTGGCATCGGTAAAGCATAGGTAAACACTTTAAGTAAATTTTTGTGGTGACATATATTCAATACAGAGACTGTGTTTTATGTAGTGATTTTCTGTAAAATAAATCTGGAAAGAGTTACTTATAACAACAACAAAAACCTTATTTATGTGTCCATGTTTTTGCAAAGATTGCGAAATTATTTATCCTGTCCTGAATTAACCTCTTTACTTTTCCTCCTCCATCAGAATCATTTTCTGGAAGGAATGCAAGGAATAATTGCTCTAATATAGCTTTCCATAGTAAGGAAAGTGAATCCGCAAAATGTGCGGATAACATTCACCTTCACATAGAGATATATTTACTCTGTATGTTGAACAAGCACAGCCTCTAGCACATGTATAGGATTAAATATATATTTACCAGCAAATCCCTTCGCCCAACTGCAAGTTAGCATCCACCATTACATGTGCAACTTATCACAATATATCAAATGTGGGAGCAGATTACGAGTTCTGAGACTGTTGCCACTTCACTCAGAAGTGGATGAGCACCTTGTGGATCCTCCAAAGATGTGCTATGCCACATGTAGATATTACACCTGTCACACCAATACTGCTATCACAATGTATAAATGGAATAGTATTATAAAGTAAAGCCAAGCCAATATTGAAAAGATCAATTTAAAAAGGTTTGGCATGTCTGGGAGCTACAGAAGGATTCAAGAATGTGCTTTTTTTTTCTTGATTACTTTTTTGAGGTCCCTGGTGTCCGTCAATAAACAGCAGTCTCTCTATTCATTAAACTGCAAACTGTCAGGAAATCAAAGTGAATTTCACATTTTAGGTCGAACTATCTAAAACAAAAATATTTATTTAAAATTATGGTGCTTTCATAATAAGTTTTGTGCTATACAATATCAGACTTGGTCACAACCCACTCTTGAAATTACACAAATGTAAGACTATGGGGGATGTTTACAACATAGTCTCTCTAATTCTGAATGCTTTTTCATAATAGGCACAGACTCAACATGTTTAATAGTGGGTGTCTCTCATATAACTCATATGTAGGTTTTGACGCATATAGTGCCCACACTCATGCGTCAATATAAACAATTTAACTAAGACATGCTGTCCATTGCTGCAAACAATTACCTAATTTATAAATAAGTAATTCTGATTTTACCTTTTTTATTTTTCTATTTTTTTTTTTTAGTGGAAGAACCCAAAAACAACTGTTTGATTCATGGAGCAAAGGGAAGGCAAAGAATCAACCCTTTGAACGGTAAGTGAGCAACTTATTCAACAATCGTATACGCTACCATTGCTGAATCTCTTCTAACCCAGTGTTTTTGGAATTACAGAAAATTCTTTCAAGCCAACCTTCATGATAGGCAATGTAGATCTTCTCCTGATCTTCTAACTGAAGTGGCAAAACAGGTATTCGTTATTAATATGGTTATTATTAACAAGTTCCGTAGTGCTGTACAATGGGTTGAAACCTTTATGTGGATAAAATATTGTAGATTAGGATTCCACATTAGAGCATAGTGCATTCTTTGGGAGAGAACTATAGAATGCAGGGGTGATGCAAGACACAGGTGTATGGTTTGTTTTTTTGTGTGAAAAATTTGCATGATGAAGGATTGGCAAAAGAAGATAACTGGCATACTAATATTTTCAATATTCTAGTCAGTTCTCCACAATTCCCAATTTAGAAAATAGATACAGTAATAGCAGCTACGGGGATCTTTAATAAGTAAACCCAGTAAAAATCTTTTTTTTTTTTTTTCTAACGTGCAAATGTTAAAGGGACACTATAGTCACCCTGACCACTTCAGCTCAATGAAGTGGTCTGGGTGCCAGGTCCCCCAGGTTTTATCCCTTCAGATGTAAACATAGCAGTTTCAGAGAAACTGCTATGTTTACATTGCAGGGCTAATCCAGCCTCCAGTGGCTATCTTCCTGACAGCCGCTAGAGGCGCTTCTGTGACGCTGGATGTGAAAATTGGATTCAGCGTGCATAACGTCCATAGGAAAGCATTGAAAAATCCTGCCGCGCTGGAGCTGACGTTAGCGGAGGAGAGGTCACCAGCGCCAAGGGAGCCCGGCGCTAGATTAAAGTAAATGGCTGAAGGGGATTTAACCCCTTCAGCGCCAAGGGAGGGGGACCCTGAGGGTGGGGGGGACCTAAGGGTTATATAGTGATACTATAGTGATCCTTTAAGATAAATGGATTAAAAATGTAAATGGTTTAAATTTTTGCAAATTTTTTGCCTAAGATGTTGATTTAAAAAAAAAAATCACTATGCACAACTCTCCCCTAACCCCCACATAATTTCAAATTATCTGAGAAAACTAATAAAAATACATATGTAATATGTAATGCTCTTTTCATCTCCAATACACGTAGTGATAAATCTGACAGTTGCAGAGAAAGTATAAAGATCAGAAAGCTTAATTAACCTTGTGTTATACAACAAGTTAAAGGGATTACTCCAACCACCATGACCACTTCACTGATTTAAGGTGGACATAGCAGTAGCAGCCTGGATGTGCACTGTTTCTGCCTGAAACACTGCACATTCAGATATTTTTAATTGTGTGCCGGAGCTAGTTGCACCCCCAGCACAGGTGATGTAGGAAGCCCAGAACTCGTGTCTGCAAAGGGAAGATCGCTATCCCTGCCTACTCTAACGTGGATGAGGGATTTAAGAACTTTGCTCCCCTTCTCCCTCCCTGCTGGCTCTGAGCCAGCAAAATGGTCAAATCAGAGTGAGAATCCTGTGCTTGGACCAGGCAAGTGTGAAGTCAGGAAGGGGGTGGAGATCAGCGCAGGAATAGTCTCCTGGTACTGGACTACAGATTAGCTTTAAGTCTTTTAACAGTGTTTGGGGGGACATGGAGAGCTATTTGTAATTGTAACTCACAAGCCTACCACTTAAAGCATTCTAATGACATTTGGAAACCTAACAAAGACTTTCATTTGTGTTTTTTTTCCCCTTCCTTCAGCCCAATGATTTAAGGCTGGTGTATACCAGTAGACCATGCTCTAGAAGTGTGAACAGCGTGGGTTGGGATCCATTTCTGTACAAAAATATGAGGAGTTCAGACGTAGAAGTACGGTTTTCAGCAGATCTGGATCGGCCTAGACCACGTGTGGACTCAGCTCCTCTGCAACAATCTAAGAGCAGTGCTTCCTTTCCTGGTTGCAGCTATAGTGATATGATACATGAAGCACCACGGAAACAATCTGAGAGGAGAGTAAGATCTTATTATGATGAAAGCAGCCACTGGCCAAGAAACCCCATGGTTACATCTAAAGATAACATGAAGGAAGCTACTTGTTCCCGTAAGACCTATACAGACCTTGCTCCTGACCCCTTCTCTATGAAGTTTAACAGAGCTTCAACAAGTTTATACTGTAATACTGATGAGCCATCTGAGCTTCCATTGCAAGCATCAGCTATAGCTGAGGAAATTTTAAGACTTACTAATCACCCTACCTCATTCGGTGGAAAATCAGCTCACCAAAGTCCCCAAACTACAAAAACAAAGGAGTATCATCAACCGGAATACCCCAGAACTAACTGCAGAAATAATGTCAACATGGATCCAAATAGAGACTTTCACATTACTTACATGGAGTATGGTGAAGAAACTTATCCTAAGAGGTCGTGGAGTCATTCGGACATGAAATCTGCATGGTTTCCTTATGGTTCCGAATTTAAGCCTTTAGGGCCTTGTCCGATATTAAGTAAAACATCTAGTGTGTCAAAAACCCCATCTGCTCAACAACACCTTTCATTACCACCACCTCCTCCACCACCACCTATTTCTATATCAAAAAATACACCAAGAGCCACAGAGAGATATGTTTACAGTGGGACTGAATCAAGTGACTCTGAAGGTGAAATTATAAATCCATATTATTATGCTTTATTTGGGAAAAGTATAAGGCATCCAATGGCAAGAGCTCGGCTATCTTCAGGAAGCCTCCAGCTAGAGGATGAAGAAGATACTCCTTTAAATGTTTGTGGTTGGGAAACGAGGAAGTCAAGGATGACGGATAAATGGGTTCACACCTAGGTATAACAAAAATACATGCACATATTTTTGACAACTGGATATTTTAATTTCCAGATGAACATATAGAATATTTTCTCTTGTCAAAGTGTTGGAAAAAAAAATGTGTTAAAGTAAAAACACGTTTACTAAAATAAAACTCTTGTGTAGTTCATTTCGTCTATATAACATTATGTAGTAGTGACAGGGTTAGTTGGACTTAATACCACCAGAAACCTCAAAGGATTAGGGATATCTGCTATGGGTAGTACTATTGCCTGCAATTAAGCCAGAATCACAAGGTTTGCATCCCACTCTCCCTTGGTGTTCAGATCACACTGTTAGATATAGTTTCACAGGATTAGTCACCAACCATGCCAACATTTTACAGACTTCAGGGAGCAGGGTGGCGGTAGCAAGTCCTGTGGGTAGATCTCTGTTCTCACAGAATTGTCTCTTTAACTTGGAATGCTGTGGCCAGAAAGGGCACTTTCGTTAAGTGCAACATATAAGGGTTCACAAATTTTAAACAAAATATAAGAATACATGTCAGGAAGTGCATTTAACTCATGAGTGACTGGGCTAAAGAAACAACAATGATTTAACTAAGGGGCTTTGTGTCAGATTAATTTCCTCCTGGCCGCGCGGCCCCTCCCCTGTATTTTTTTTGTTTTGTTTTTTTTTAAAAATACAAAACAAACTCGGAATGAATAATCACAACATATTTTTTTAAATGCTTTTTGACCCAGCCCCTAAAATAAAAAAAACCCATCTCCAGCAGCAAAGAGGTTAGAGTATGCATGTGCAACATTTCACAGGAAAACACTGAGCATACAAAGCACCACGACCACTTCAAATCACTAAGGTGGTCATGGTGATTTGAGTAACTTTTCAATGGAACTCCAAAGCATTAAAAAAAAAAAACTAAGATTTGCTAAATGTTGTGTTTTAAAATTTTATCAGCTGCAAAGCAACTTATAGTATGATGTATAATCAAACCACCCTTAGCATTTCAAATGCCTAAAATATATATATATATTTAAACAATTCTATAAGGAACAGAAGGTTAGACTATGTATATTCAGAGCATAAAAAAGTGGGAGAAAATACTCGATCTACAAAACCAGAAATGTCCGAAAGGTAATTATACCATTAAGTAGTCATTAGTGATGTCGCGGACTCCAGTCAGCAGACACATCCCGGCCAATCTGCAGCTGACCCTCCCTCCCACCTCCTGGACAGCATCCATTTTGAAGGCAACTTCCCAATGGATGCTGTCCAGGAGGCGGGAGGGTCTGGGAGGGAGGGTCAGCTGCAGATTGGCCGGGATGTGTCTGCTGACTGGAGTCTGCGGCAAACCGTTCGAGACATCACTAGTCATATTTGTTGGGAATATCAAACATTCTTTGAGGCTACTAAAATCCCTGACTCTTATTATTTATATAGCGTCAGCAAGTTCCATAGCGCTGTACAATGGCAAGCATTATGGGAAATAGAGTGCAGAAACAACTGTTATGGATAGACACCTGTCCTGTGATATTATAGGAGAGCGAAAATACACTACAACCAAAAATACCACAGAGGAGGGTAGAAAACATCACCATAACAGGACCAAATGTTCAGCATCTTCAGAACCCCAAGATCACATTTTTCACCAATACATGCGACATTGTTTTATAAATTTTATATTGTATGATGCTTGTAGCCTCTGGGTGTTGGTGTTAGATTTAATTTTACATGTGTTGGGGTTAAGGGAATATTATAGGGCAGCAGGAAGAATGTCCCAGTGCTACCAGAGATGATAGAGAATTACACTTCCACACAGCAGCTATTTTAGGTTCTACTATTAATTGGCTTAGGACAAAAATTAATTAAAACTGAGGCAACTTTCACTCTGGAGAGCTTGCCTCAGATGTGACCAAGTTTATCTATATGAATAATTCCCACATATGCCTATGTAGTTATCGCAATTTTCTTTTTCTGACAATCCTTTCGTAATGAGCCAGGAGTCGTGATAGGAGTTAGAACAGGGGTAATAAGATGATTTTTAGATTATGATTTTAACTAAATGGAAATAAAGTGTAACAATTTTAGTATAGAATTTAGTTTCTGGTATGGATATACAGTTTACCCATAAAGAAACCCTTTGCCCAAGTGGTGACAAAATATTCTACACTGCAGTATAATAGGTGGATTAACAAATATATGCAAAAAAAAAAAAAAAGTTGGACAAACAGAAACAGAAGTTGGTATGGGTCCTGTTTAAAGAAATAAAAAAAAAAGCTTACAAAAAGGCATAAAGACAACAGTTTAAAGTGGAGGTAAATAATAGACAAGTTAAACATAATGAGTTTTGCAGCTAAACACCCCTTTGCATGGCTTCTAATGCATGGGAAGAAGAGATCAACATTCAAACTCATATCCCTAGAAATGGATAATGTACCCAGAGGGGAAGCTGGGATATATAACATATGTACAGGTACACCTAATCAATCCATTTAAAGAGAAGTAATCAATGTAATAGTATGACAAATAAACTATTAATGAAAAAATATATTAAAATTCCCCACTGGCAAATGTGTGCTGTGTACAAATAATAATGTGAAAAAAATCTCTACTAAGTCCTAAATGGGAAAATAATTGATCTAGATCAAGCATGTCAAACTCACAGCCCACAAGGACCATCTTTGCGGCCCGACGAGCCGCGAGTACATGTTTAGTGTTTTAGCAAAATAGGCACCTGCTTTTCCCCTATAAAAGGATCAAAGAAAATTTATCACAAATATCGTGAGTATAAAAAAAAAGGGCACAGGTCTATGCCGAATATATTACTCAATAGATATGTGCCTGGGAATAGTAGATCCTATTAGGATCGGTATAAAGTCGCTATTATGGCATGAACACACAGTAAAACACAGCCCTGAACAATGCTTACTGCCGATAAAAAGTCAGAGTAGAGAATGAGGTGATAACACTAGCAACAAGTAAGATACAATAGGGCCACGTTCTACAGTGGACTCCAACTCCCATGAGTGGCAGACACAAGTCTATAAATAAGACTGTCACATATGATAAATGCTTGGGAATGGTGCCAAAAATGGAAGGAGGGTAGAGGATATATACAGCCTAAGAAGGTCTCACTTAATATGGTAAATTATGGATCCAAATAGGTCTAAACCCGGAACACGACTCCTATTTCTAGTAGGCATAGATGGAAGGCTATAGTATGCTATCCATGTGGAAGTGACTTTGGTTTAAATCTTGCAGAGAACAGGAGGAGAGAAATGGCACTCTGTCAAAAATAGTAGGCTGTAAATGAAACCGCCTTAGTGTAACAAATAGACCTCCAACACTCGTCAAATAAGTAGAGCGGTCTATAAAGGAGTCCCCTCTGACGAGCCAGGTCGGGCAAATGCACAGGTGTCAAGGGTCCTTAGGATGCTGTTTCTTATTTGTGACAACACCAGGACTTAACTGTGACCTTACCATAGACTCTGTATCCAATACAACCATGGGAATCGATTAGGTGCCCTTAAAGGCACAGGGTGGGAGTTTAGCACGGCTATCTTTCTAGTGCATTATCACCCCTGCATCACTTACTACCTTTACCAATTATCGTGTATCACTTATATGGGTATGGCTTGAGGTGCCCTCTAAGGCACGGGGGAGGAAGTGTAGCACGGCTTATTTATTTTTCAAGTGCAGGACTACTCCTTTATAGACTTCTCTACTTATTTGACCAGTGTTGGAAGCCTATTTGTTACACTAAGACGTTTTCATTTACAGCCTACTATTTTTTATTATAGGCAGTAAGCATTGTTTAGGGCTGTGTTTTACTGTGGGTTCATGCCATAATAGCGACTCTATACTGATCCTAATAGGATCTACTATTCCCAGGCACATATCTATTGAGTAATATATTTGGCATAGATGTGTGCTCTTTATATACTCACGATATTTGTGATACAATTTTATTTTATCCTTTTATATGAAAATATATCCATCAGTTCTCACGATCATAGTTACCCCATGTAGATCAATTATTTTCCCCATTTAGGACTTAGAGATTGTTTCTTCTAACCTTCTATATATGAGTTTTTAACATTATTGTTTGTACACAGCACACAAATTTGCCAGTAGGCAATTTTAATATATTTTCATTAATAAAAGTTTTTAATTTTTCACACTATTACATGGATTACTTCTCCATCTGGATTGATTAGGTGTACCTGTACATTTGTTATATATCCCAGCTTCCCCTCTTGGTACACTATCCCCCTCTCTATTTACAGTTTAAACTAGGGGGTTACCACCCTTTTAGCTGTGTACCAATATGTTTCTCATTTTCCTAGAACTACAAATTTGAACAAATAAAGCTCATCGGAAAACAGTCTACCAATGAAAGCAATACACCAATGCATTCCGTTCTTCGTGGATTTAAACTAACTTGATCATGCAATTTTTTTTTTTTTAAACAAAATTCTGCGTTGAATAATATCCAAATCAGTTAGTCTCTGCTTGATCATTGCAATTTGGCTCTCAAATCACAACAATGTGGTGTGCTAGTGCATAAACCCCTTATATTTAACTGTGTAATGTGGGAAAAACTGAAAGGAACAGCTGAATTAAAGTGGAGGTAAATAATGTTTTGGCGGTTTTAACATTTTTAAATTCACGTTCAAGTTAGATTGTTACCAAATTTAGAAGATACCTTAACCTATGATTAAATGAACACTCCAAACCCTATAACTACTACAGCCCACTGAAGTAGTTACAGTGCCAGTAGTGCCCAGATTAAGGGGTCAAACCTATTAAAGTGGTTGAGAGCTTACCTGCATTTGCCACTCCCATCTGCAGCTGAGAGGTGATCCACTGATTATGCTCATTGGCTGAAAGCCCAGGCGTGCCAAAAAAGTAAATCCCAAGATGTTTCAGAACTAATCCTCCCATGATGCTTTACATGCCTTAAGAAAGACAAGGCATCATGGGTGTTTTAGTTCTACAACATTTAGGGGTCTACCTTTTGTGGACCACTGACTTAGCCAATCATCCATTGCTACACAGCAGAGCTTAGCTTAGTGGATCTAACAGAAGTGCCTTGCAAGATCTTCTGGCTCCAGGGGTGGTCATGGGGCAACCATTTTTTTATAACCTGGTATGCACTGCCATTTCCACCTCTAAGCATAAGGTGGCGTGAGAACAGTGGGTTAGTGATAGCCACCCTTTAGAACACAAATAATCATTATTCTAGCACCAAGGTTTGTGTAAATTGACACTGAAAGAACCCAGACCACTTTATATGAATGTAGCAGTCTGGGACACCACATTCCAGTTTTAGCCATGAAATATAACATTTTGCCATTCTGCGTGAATACCAATATTTGCATTGCACGGTTTAAATGCCTCTAGTGGCTGTCATACAGAAACTTTGCTATTTCAATCAGAAGGTCTTATGGAGCAGAGCATTTTTCCAGAGCATGCAGACAAGCATCCTGCTGCTTTAATAGGGGGAAGGTATTTGATTGGCTGAGATCATCAATATATCAAATCGCACACACATACCATTAAAACACACATTTTTATACAATCTATGTCCCTGCTGTGTGGATCTGGGAAACATTTTAAGTATCTCTGACTTCAATGTCTCCATGTTTCTGATTAGGTACTACTATAGGTACTACTATAGTGTCTGCCTGGCATGAGGGGGGCTTAGTCATATTTGTACTAAAATGTATTTTGAGCTTCAGTGTTACTTCCTACATTTTAACTTTTTTTTTAAATTTATTTTTAACACGGACAGGAATATGAAAAACCAACAATGTGTAATGTTTGTCTTTAATTCTACAAGCAGAAAAAAAAAACACCACGTATACAAATCAAGTCTTTAACAGAATTTAAATATTTATTCTTAAACCATTTAAAATCCCCTGACATACTGAAATAAGCTTACTCTATTAACAGATTTACAGAAGTAATAACTATGAAGGATATATGGGTACCACTGTTTTTTTATAATTTTTTTTTTTTCTATCTGTGAAGTTATCTTATAAAGCTTTCTGATCAACTGTATTTACAACTTTTACTCCTTAATATATTTATAAAAATATTTTTTTTTTATTCATAACATTGTTTTTCAAAAACTATTTTCAGACTTTCTCAAGATATAAATTTGAAGTGAGTTTCAGTTAGCGAGCAGAAAATGCAAACAAAAAATGGTTCCTTAAAAACAGAGAAATTAAAAAGTGAACTCAATTGTATAGGCACCACTGAATTTCTCTTTCCTTGGCATTTGCCAGCAACATATTTCAAGTGTCCTTCTGATGAAAAGCAGAAATTTATGTTGTTATGGTTAAACTAACCCCATAGAAGAAATAAGCATGCTGCAATTTTAAGCAATGTGCTACTTCTACAAAAAAAAAGGTTTATGAACAACCCTAGTCTGGTTAAAAATACGACGTACTTGGGGGTTAACGTAGTAGAGCAATTTCACTTTAGTGTGAAAGGAAAAAAATATTTTCGGTTTTACAAAACCTAAGTACTGAAAGTGAGCTGTGCAATTGTGCCCGTTGAGCACCTCTGGTTTGGCAGAGGATAATGGGAGGTGCAGTGCAATATGAAATACAGTAGGGCAAATGTTGACAGCCCTTTAATGTGGAGCATGGTTTTGCACATAGAAGCAGCTTCACTTAAAACAAGTTCTGTGAAAAATCAAAAACATATGTCCCCTTAGTATATGCTCTGATCTTGGGTCACTAGCAATTCAGAACAAATATATTGTACAAAACTTTTTTGGATCAGTCTAGCACAGGGGTTGGGCCAACACACAGACCCCCAGCTTGTGAAGTGGACAAGTCTAGCACAGGGGTTGGGCCAACACACAGACCCCCAGCTTGTGAAGTACAACTTCACTGATGTTTTGTAAGCTTTTTAGTTGGCCATAACATACATATCTGCCATGGCAGATATTAAAGCGGGTTGTCACGTGGCTAAGATGTCTATTAAGATCTATGCCTAGTGAAAGAACTCAAATCCCCTGGACTGAAAGCCTAAAATCTAGGAAATGGCATAGAGGCATCATTAAATTAGCAGTAACTATTAAGATTAAAAATCACATTTCAATATTGATTATTACACGTAATTTCTTCTAAACCTTGATGGGTATTTAAAGTGATCTTCAGTCGAGTGGGGCAGCATGAAATGTTTGCCTCTGCACACCACTCCCTATTGTTTCTTACATAGCAGAATTTAGCTAAGGAAGTAAACAGTGTAAAACAAAATGGATGCCACCAGGCAGCTGAACAGATTGGTCATTGACGGTTTTGCAAATTTACATACATTTTGCAAGTGGATTGGAAATGTTTCTTTTATACAAGAGCAACTTTTTGGCTTAATTTTTAATTCTAAAAAAAAAAAAAAACACTACCAGATCGTCACAACAAATGTAAGATTCAGACTGTCAGTGGAATTGGTAATTTTCTATGTATATATCCCTTGACACTACAGCATGCTCATTTGCATCAGAAACTGGAGGTAATTTTCTCTTAAACATGAATAGCTACTTTAATAAAAAGTAAAAAAAAAAAAAAAAACACTGTAATGGCTATTTGACAAAATGCAGTATGCGTCAAGCACGGTTACATTTTATAGATTTGGCAGATATTCTTAGGTTTTCAACTCCTCTGTGCGTGAGATACTGGCCGTGCAGCGTAGGTGAGAAACGTCGGGCCGAAATCTCTGGCACTTGTAGGGCATGAACAACCGATTACACAAAATTAAAATAAATCATCAGGGCTCAAATCATAAAATGAACACATCCAGGTAAAATATTATGGATGTTATTCATAAAGAGCAGGGGAGCAATTCTGTGTTCCTTTAAAGCATTCTAAAAGTGGACCAATCACTCACCATGGCAACCAGTGGAATTTTCCTGCTGATTGCCCCACTTTCAGAAGTCTGCTCCAAAGTAGCTCTTTTTAAATAACCATCTGTGTATGTATATCTATAGTTAGATATATGTGCACACATATTTTACACCAACTGCAAAAAAAAAAAAAAAAGAAAGAAAGAAAGAAAAAAAAATGAAGCACATGCTCGAATAAAAATATTGCATTCTATATACATGGGACAATTTTAGTAAACAGAAAACATCCCACTAAGCAGTACCATAAATATATCAAATACTTATTTACAGTTCTGCCGGCTGTTTTGAAAGGATTTTTACTGCCAAACATCAAGTTGAATTTTTTTTTTCTTCCTTTGTGTGTGCGTGAAAGAGTATCTATTTTAACTTAGTTACTTGAATATTAAATGGTAAATACATATTTAAAATACACTTTCACAGGAGTATAAATACGTGTTGGCGCTGTTTAAGCATGAGCGGGATAAATGGAATATATTACATGTGTAATGTGGAACTGGGGGATGCTGGTGCAAACCATTGTCTCTGTATGCTTGCTGGGGTTACTTTTTCACATTATATTTGACCACTCATTGTTGCATTTTAATATACATTATTTGTATTCCCCAACAGCTTGACTCTCATTACCAGTAGGCCTGACAGCACATCTCCTCTCAAAGAACAGAAAGGCTTCTCTGACAGCAGCAAGAGTTAAATTACATTAGACAAATAGTTTGTCCATGACAAAATAAAAATATATATATTAAAAAAAAATATATATTGCTTTAATTATTCTTGAAGAAAGCAAAACACACTGCTTGAGAGACCTTGCTAGCGAGACAGCATAACATAGTGTTTGAACCTAGTTGCCATACTTTGTCTGCACATTAGAAAGCAATATTGCTACTACATGCCAATTAGATTCAGATTTTATGCGGCAGTATTTAAAAAAAAAAAAAAAGTGTCAAACAAATTTACACTTTTTTTCTTTTTTAAACAACCACATTTCAAATCATACTAAACTTCAGTGTGAAAATTTCCAGCACTTTAATGATGGGGGGGGAAAGAAAAACACTTAAGACAGAGTGGCTGCTTACCATATACCCTGGATGCTTTAAACAAAACAAAAAATATGCACAGTGAGAGAGCAGTGTAGTGATATGTGTTCTTGTGCCACTTGGCATAGTCAATTGAAAAGGAAAGCAGATTAGAACCTGAACGCTTGTGGGCCAAAAAGGTCACTTTGTGGCCTCTCTGGCACACAATGAGTTAAATGTTGTGGCAATTTAACTAGTATGATGAAAGTTTAGTACAGATGAGAGCCTGCTCATGGTCTATACGAGTCAGAGGTGTCACAAGTAAATGCTTTACTGTACAGCAGCAACAATTTACCCCTGCTAAGTGGAAGTGCTCTAGTCCACTCCCTACATCCCACCACTTATTTCAACTCTAAAGAAATGGCTAAAGTTTACCCCCCCAAAAAAAAATTCATGAAGAAAACAAAAAAACAAAAAAACCCAGTAGATTCCATCAGTGTACAGTGCAACACAATCACAACATAATGTTACTTGCACATCTCACTAACTCAGCAACTGTTACCCAAGAGCAAAACAGCAAATCGACATTTACAGGATTAAACAAAAGATGAAAACAGTAATAAAAGTTATCAGTCTTTACAAAATTATTTCCTGAAAATATAAAACCATTTACACTATCACAAAAAAAGGAAAAAGAAATGAGGGGGAAAAAAAGAAAAAGAAAAAAAAAGAAAAGAAAAAGAAAATTGGAGCTTCGTAAATGTTGATCATGGTCAATGTTGTATTTTGCAAAGATCCAAAAGGCACAAGGAGCTGAAAAAGCTAAGCATGGCCAGGCTTGGAGTAGTTTTGGTGGGTATCCCTCTCCTTTTCTGATAACAGTGATGTCATAGTCATCAGAAGACACTTAGGAGTCACTGACGGAAAACCTGTTAACAGGAAAGAAAATTAACACCTGCTATCTTGAATACAATAAATTCACAAACTACACAACACTCTTTTAACCCCTTAAAGACCAAACTTCTGGAATAAAAGAGAATCATGACATGTCACACATATCATGTGTCCTTAAGGGGTTAAACACAAATGTATCTGAAGCCCTCTGTTTTTCTTCACTGGATGAGCTTCATTTTGCTACATGAGAGCTAAAATGTTCAGTGGATTTTTGGGTTATTCTATGTCTAATCCTGAAGAATATTATGAAAATGGGTCATGTTAAAGGGTATTTACTATGGCATTTATCCTCCAAACCAAGCATCTGAGGTATCAAATTGGCCCAATCATTTGAAATCAAAGCCAACCTCCCATGGGTACACAATAACCACTTAGTGCTAATTCCCTTTTGACTGGTTACCTATGACTTAGGTCAATATTCAAAGATGGCAATCAAACCTGTGCATTTTGCCCTGAACTGAAACTGGACACGACATTTTCAACATTTGCACAAGACAGGAACTAATGGAGATATATTGAAATGTAAGAAGTATATATGAATGTTGAGCAAAGAAAAACACCAAACAACCTACCAATCAATGCAAAGAAAGCTCTGTTGACACCACCATCTTTGAATTTACTCTAATTAGGCAAATCTTCACCATGTAAAGAATACTCACTTTTGGAATTTCTCCATGAGTTTCTTTACCATCTTGTCAGTTATCCCTGGATAAGTGGTCTCAGCAATATTCATGCTCTTCTCAAGTTCTTCAATTGCATTTTTTCTCACGGAGTTATTCCGGTCTTGTTGTTTAAGCTGAAAAATTACCATGGTCAATAATGAATGGTGTACTTTATAATTATGCACTTTTTTGAAGTGAAATGGATGTGTTGGAAGGATTAGAAAAACTCACCTCAGCGAACACGGGTGCAATAATTACAGATAAAGAGCTCAAAGCTGTCACAAGTTCTTGGTCCTAAAGAAAAGAAATCTCTTAAGAACACTTAAAATGTTTCACAAAATTAGTTGTAGAAAATGTGTTACTTCACAGAGGTATCCTACAGAAACATATGTTTAATGTTCTTTCTAAAGTGTAATGTTTGTGCCATTTTTTTTTCCACATTTTTTTTTTCTTAAAACTGCTCCCACATCTACACACTTCGAGCAGAACAGTAAACGTTATAATGATTTTCTACTCCTCCATTATCACCTATCCAGTCTATGGAACTTAGCTGGAAGGATCCAGCCAACCATGTTACTTGAATTTCCATTAAAAAAGTAATGGAAAATAAATGGAGAACTAAGAATGGAGTATTAAATATGGTCCGGTCTCAAAGGTCATGGGCTGGTGAGGAGGAGGCTGGCAGTGTACACATCCATCATCTCTTGTTTTTGTAATTTTAATTTTGTTGTGCAGTGGTATATTTGCATAAATTGACAAAGTTGCAGGATAATAGTCAAAAATGAAAATGCAGATATACACAACAGAATAGTATGTCAGACATGACTAACATATCTGTCCGGCTATCATGTATGTATAATTAGCTGCACATTTTATATAACAGACTAAAAGTATTGCTACTGGAAATATACCTGAAAGTATAGGAGTATAATATATGTAACTCGAACTCTGAAGAGAACTATACGCTTGTGTTTGTCACCAAGAGCAAGCAGATTTATGCTCTGTAGTCCAAGGTGTATAGGATAATCATTGTATAATGCATTCCTTGAGCTGGAGAGCTCTTAAACGTAAGATTTAAAAAGTAATAAACCTTAAGGAAATAATGACAGTGATAAGGTGGCTGATGCAGGTTAGCAAAGACTTAGAGTCAACCGACACCCTCTCACAGGCCATTGATGCAGAAATGAGATTTTAGTAGCCCAACATGCTAGGGCCCTGTAGTTCCACTTCTCTAGGTCCAGAATGTAATGAGATCAGACATTAAATGTTCACAGACCTTTCCACTCAAAATGATCAGGTCACTGTCCCAAGAGAGTCCCAGTCCCAACCCTAGGTTGTGAACTGTGCTCATGTTTTGGACCTATCTAGGTTCTTGGCCACAGGGAGAGTGATGAGATGGGGCATCACCCGTCATCGGCATGACCTCAGTTGATGAGAGTTGGAGACTAAGTTGCCAAAACCAATAACAAATGGTTGCAATGCCAAAATGAATGTTGCTTCCCACCACTGCAAGTCGCCCTCTTGTCAGAAACTACAAGAAACCGTCAGTGTGCCCAAGTCGAGATGTTTCACGATACAGGGCTTTTCTGGTGGGGACCGAGATAATCCCCACCAGCCTAATGGCGGAGAGTGGTGGAAGGGGTTGGGGGACAGTGCTCTTCTCCTACCACTTGTTACACCAGTTGGACTAGGCCGCAATCACGCAGACTTCAATCTTACAGCAAATAACTACAAACTTGGACAGGTCTGTTCATTGGGAGGTAGCAGACGCTGTAATGATGTGGCCACTTCGGCTTTAGACAAAATTGTGGATAGGTAATGTTCATAGTATGCAGAATTAACAATATAGCTTAGGAGCGGCCATCCAGATCAGCAGTCAGGACCCTCCTCACCCATCTCTGTTTTAACCCCTTAAGGAGCAAACTTCTGGAATAAAAGGGAATCATGACATGCCACACATGTCATGTGTCCTTAAGGGGTTAATAACCCTCACCTCCATCCCTAAATGAGCCATAAATTGAATACGAAAATGGATGGTTAATAAATCACCCTGCTTTCTGGAATAGAAAGAAAAAAAGTACACCATTTCAAAGTCACTGCTTGTCATCATTCATAAATAAACTGCACAACAAGAAATACACACTGTTCCATTCGGCAATTTCTTTGCATCTGGCTTCTTCCGAACCGTAGTAAAGTTCCACTCTGGGTGCAAGTTATTTTCTTTATTGTTGGTCTCGCTGCACAAAGAAAAACATTTTAGTTAAAACGCACAGAGGTCCTTTCACTTGGCATTGTGAAAGATCTGTTAAATGCTGGTTAACATCGTATACTTACGAATCAGAATCATCTGATCCAGAGTCACTGTGTCCCTCTGCCTTCCATCTCTTAAACCTGTCAATCAGCTCTGTTAGGTAAGATGTCCTCTTTGCATTCTTCACAATAAATTTGTGCTTCAGCAATTCTTTTGCAGTTGGACGCTAAATAAAATATAAAATATGACACTTGCTTTACAAATGAAAGATTACATCTTATTAATATTGCTGTATAGATAATCAGCCAAAAACACCCTGTTCAAGGTCCTCAGAAATTCTGCAGATTTAATTCTACTTTCTGAGAAGCAATTTTCTTTCATTTTGATATAAAGGAATATTCTAGTCTAAAGGCTGAACTATGATTTATATCAGCTTGCGAAGCCCACTGTTAAATTTTCATGAATAAATGCATCTGTTGTAAGGCCACCTTACTGGAGTCTTCCACTATGATAGAGTGTAAGTTTCATTATACAATTTTGTGAGCTTTGGGTAAATAGATCTTCTGCAATACAACAGTACTATGCAATATAGTATTATATATAATTACACATAAATCTGTGTATTGCATTTTGTAATCTAGGGATGCATTTTATGCAGACAGTGACTTCAGGTAATTTAGTATCCACTGAAAAGTGTGTTTACATAAAATTGCAAAAGCTCTTGCAAACAATTATTCAAAGTAAGCCTGTATCATTTCTAAAGTGGAGATAAATGTTAATGTGGCAATTGTAGGGCATATGAGCTTTGGTATTCTTCCCCAGCCTTACAGAAGTTATACAAGGGTTGTGTGCATACAATTTTTACATGCCAACATTACAGGCTAATTTACCATTTTTTTTCTCCCACAGTGAGAGAGCTGGCAAGTTTGTACAGTAAAAGCAGGTCCTTCAAGCCAATCATTTGCCCTGCAACAATCCCATTCTAACGGTTCACAATGTGGACCTTTGTATGCAGCCAATTCATAGGCTTTGACATATCATTTAACAAACTAAAAACCATTCAAACAAAATTTTCACACATAGTGGACCTATTTTAGGTTTTGAAAAGCATATTTGTCAACATATTATAAAAGAAAAGAGGGGAAAAAAAACAAAAAAATAAGACAAAAGAACACCTTGCTAATTAAAGCATATATGAGATTAAAAAGCATTTCATACATACAATGTGCTAGCAAAAGCATATATGATCATTTAATGCGGTTAATATGGTGCCTGCCAAGCTGTCAATTAATCCTTGGCATTAGACCTTCAATGTTAGAAAGAGAACCGTTGGTCCGAAAATTCTCTGTCACAGTGCTGCTCCCCCTGCAAGCATTTATCATACTGCAGGGCAAGTGTAGGTTGTTCTGATATAATGAATAAAGTCAACACGTCTGCTTTATCAGTAAGAACTGCCTTGCAAGTGTCTTCAAGCAGTATCAATTACTACAGGGATGGGAAAGCAGCATAGAGTGGTTGCTACAACAGAGTAACACCCACAGACTCTCCAGGAACAACAGCACAGGAGAGAGAAGCATGTCCGTAGTAAATAGAAAGATATAGATTTACTACCTTGGGGGCCGTTTTATCGAATGTTGAACCAGGAGTGACAGGTTCACCTTAAAGGAGCACTACAGACACTTAAGATGCAACGATAAACCTGCACACTGTAGTGGTTATGGTGCTGCACATACATACTTCAGGAACCATGACCAGTTAAAATAATTTAAGTGGTCAGGGTGCTTGGAGTAAGCAGTTAATGGAGTTCCAAAGCAGGAGCTTCCTGCTCTCTGAAGTAGTGAAGGCAGGGAGCAGCAACTGGCAGACTCCAAGTAAGTAGATAAGACAATTTTACTACTTACAGTGTAGGAAGGATGAGTGCCAGTGCTTGGACAGTTCCTTTAATGCCAGGTGAACTACTTCTGTTAAAATGCTAAACAAAAACCATATGCACCACAGGATGCTCTAAAGCTCACTACAGGAATGAAATGTCCAGGGTTGGCTCACTGGTTTCAGCTACTTCTGCAGAAGCCTGATGTGCTTATATGAAAAAAAAACCTCCCCCCACTACACAAAAAGAAATCAATATGCAATAATACTTACAAACGTGGGATCCTTATTTAAGCAGGCATCAATAAACTCTTTGAATGGTTTACTAAAGTCTCCAGTTAAAGTAGGTGGGTTGTTTTTCGGGATGAGAAACAGGACCCTCATGGGATGCATATCAGAATTTGGGGGCTCGCCTTTGGCAAGTTCAATTGCAGTAATTCCCAGAGACCAAATATCAGCCTAAAACAAAAATGGTATAGTGCATAAATACATCAATATATATATATATATATATATACACACACACGTGGAACTACGTACGCTCTTGCTACTGCAAGATATTTTTAACCTACCATGAAATGATTTATAGGATATACCCAAAGTCTATTCCCTTATTATGTGACATGATAAAGGGTTTGATGACACTTAATACAGTGCACCAAATATTCACCGTAAGACTTAAATGTGCTGTATTTTGTCATCTGCTTCTTTTTTGCACCTTGACATTTTCGTATATACACAATTTATCCGAAAATGGGGAAGCATTGAGATTGGCTCACAAAATTACTTCTGATGATGTCAGCAGACAGCAGGCAGTTCAGGGGCAGAGCCAGAAGTGCAGACTTCAATACAAGTAAGATTTTACTATATTTAGTGGGCAAGGGAAGCCAGGGGGGCTAAATGGTGTTAAACACTTTAGGGTCAGAAATACAGGTTTGTGTTCCTGACCCTGTAGTGTTCCTTTAAGTTGCACTTCTCTTTTACTCGCCACTATAACTTTGGTGGTGTTCTGAAATTTAAATTACTACAGAAAAACTGGCAGATATTACCATAAAAGAAACCATCACTTTTTATATCTCTTTTAGAAGACCTTAATAAATACAAATCAGAATAATGGCAAAGTTTAACAATTGTGAAATGTCCCCCCATTGTTTACTTTAGTACCCCAAACCTCAATTATATATTATAGCATTAATGATCTGTGAGTGTGTCTATAGTGTTTTACATAATTTTATCTTGTTATCCAATAGCATTACCAAGTTTGATATCTAAGGAGGATCTTATATTCACTCATATTTTAGACAAAACTGAATGATCAATCCTTCAATTATAAAGTATGTTAAAACTGATTTTACAAAATGCTTTCATTACACTAATTTCAGTATCAAAATAATCACCAATGCACTCGGGAATGCTGTGCTACTGCAGAAAAACATGGTGACGTGCCCACTCTAACCAAAGGAAATACAATAAAATAGCATGTTGACACTGTGGACGTTAAGATGAACAGCTAGATGAAAGAAAATATTGCATAAATTCCACTTAAATCTGCTTCCCTATGTAGCTTCACAGAAGGTGAATAAACTGCTACAGACCTCTATTTAAAGAATGTAACACAAAGGAGAAATAGCAAAGGGGTTAAGCAAGACACGAGCAAAACAATTGGAGAAAATGGTTTCATCAAAACAATTACTATAATGCTAGACATATAATTCCACTGCCTTCTGGGAAATGTCTAATTGTGCTGCTGCTTTCTAAGATGCCTAAAGCATGTTTTTAATGTGTCAGTGATAATAAACTCTGTATGTTCTAAACAACTATGTGGCTCTCCTTTATAATAATCTAGTTCCAAAATTTTACTTTGAATAAAACAATATGTCCTACACAGATCAATTTATTTAATGTTGCAAAGTACAAGTTACATTTGGTGAACAAAACCTGATAAAGGTACACATGGCATTTTAAATTAGTCTACAGCAAGCATGTCAAACTCAAAGTCTGGCACGGGCCACATAAACAAGGTTTAAGTTTATGTGGGACACACAAACACACACACACACACACACACTTTTCTTTATTGTTCCCTACGTTATGGAGCCGACGTGGGGCATCTCCCTGGGGTCCTTCCTGCTCCTCACGCGGTTCAGTGATGCCGGGTGCCGGAATATGACGTCATATTCGGGCGCCTGGCTTCACTTATTTCGGTGCGCGCAAGGGAGCATTGAGGAACAGGAACACTGAGCTCCCTCTCTGGCCCTTCTCCCCGGCCGGGTAAATGGCCTACTCTGCTATAACACCAGCATGTACTCCCGGCTCGCCGGGCCGCAAAGATGGTCCTTGTGTGCTGCATGCGGTCCGCGAGTTTGACATGCTTGGTCTACAGGACTACCTATACTTATTAGCAACATAAAATTAAAGGGTTACTCCAACAACCATGACCACTTCAGTGATTTAAAGTTGTCATGTGGTAAGAGTATGTGCAGTGTTTAAGCTTTAAAAGGCTGCACATACAGAGTTATTGCTAATTGTGTGCTGAGGGAGCTAGTTGCAGAATAGCAGTTCTCTAATGGGATAACAATATGCAGAGGAACAAGAAGCTCACCTTAGAATCATAGGCAGACTGCTGTATGACCTCTGGAGCCATCCAGAAAGGTGTGCCAACAAATGTGTTTCGTTTAATTTGTGTATCTGTAAGTTGTCCAGCAACTCCAAAGTCAGCCAGTTTTACATCTCCTTGTTCTGAAAGCAGGACATTGGCAGCTGGAACACAGAACAGAGCAAGATTTGGAATGTGCACCGACTACTAGTCAGGGGGTAAACAGATCATAAAATGTTATTCTTCTAACCTTTGATGTCCCTGTGGATTTTATTCTCAGAGTGAAGATAATCTAGACCTTTCAGGATTTCTTTCAACATGGTAGCAATCTGAAATTCATCAAATGGACCAACACGCAGCTGTAAAAAAGAAAGAACAGTTACTGTCAGAAAATCTGTACATTATTGCCCTAGGGGAGCAGCTATACTTCTAAAAGGGTAAATTCTATGGAAATTTAAAAATAAAATAATGTATGATATTCAGTATATAGTCATTTATTGCTTTAAAACCATTAAACTATAATAAACATGTCCCTGAGATAAAGCGATACTATTTATACAGTTTAGTATCGCTTTATACCAGGGACATGTTTGTTACAGGTGAAATTGAGCATTCCGTTCTCATGTTCTCTTTCTGTAAATGGAGTGGGAAAGGGTACTATTTCTTAAAGGACCACTATAGTGCCAGGAAAACAAACTTTTCTGGCACTATAGTGCCCTGAGGGTGCCACCACCCTCAGGGTCCCATTCCTACTGCGCTGAAGGGGGAGGAAGGGGTTAATCCCTTACCTTTTTTCCACAGCCGGGCTCCCTCGGCGCTGGACTCTCCTACCTCTTCTCATATCATCGGCTGAATGTGCATGCGCGGCAAGAGCGGCGCGCGCATTCAGCCAGTCTCATAGGAAAGCATTCACAATGCTTTCCTATGGGTGCTGGCGTCTTCACACTGTGAAAATCACAGTGAGAAGCGCCTCTAGCGGCTGTCAGTGAGACAGACGCTAGAGGCTGGATTAATCCTAAAGTAAACATAGCAGTTTCTCTGAAACTGCTATGTTTACAGCAGAAAGGGTTAATCCTAGATGGACTTGGCACCCAGACCACTTTATTAAGCTGAAGTGGTCTGGGTGCCTATAGTGGTCATTTAATGATAAAACATTGTGTAATAAACTACATAGGGATGCTGTATGGTTATAAATGTTATCACTGGAGCAAAATATAGTGTTGCAGACAGGATGGGTATAGTGTTCAAGATTTATAAATACTAAGTGCATCCTAACAGCAGGTAGCCAAGTGCATCCTAACAGCAGGTAGCCAAGTGCATCCTAACAGCAGGTAGCCAAGTGCATCCTAACAGCAGGTAGCCAAGTGCATCCTAACAGCAGGTAGCCAAGTGCATCCTAACAGCAGGTAGCCAAGTGCATCCTAACAGCAGGTAGCCAAGTGCATCCTAACAGCAGGTAGCCAAGTGCATCCTAACAGCAGGTAGCCAAGTGCATCCTAACAGCAGGTAGCCAAGTGCATCCTAACAGCAGGTAGCCAAGTGCATCCTAACAGCAGGTAGCCAAGTGCATCCTAACAGCAGGTAGCCAAGTGCATCTTAACAGCAGGTAGCCAAGTGCATCTTAACAGCAGGTAGCCAAGTGCATCCTAACAGCAGGTAGCCAAGTGCATCCTAACAGCAGGTAGCCAAGTGCATCCTAACAGCAGGTAGCCAAGTGCATCCTAACAGCAGGTAGCCAAGTGCATCCTAACAGCAGGTAGCCAAGTGCATCCTAACAGCAGGTAGCCAAGTGCATCCTAACAGCAGGTAGCCAAGTGCATCCTAACAGCAGGTAGCCACGTGCATCCTAACAGCAGGTAGCCAAGTGCATCTTAACAGCAGGTAGCCAAGTGCATCTTAACAGCAGGTAGCCAACTGCATTTTAACAGCAGGTAGCCAACTGAATTTTAATAGCAGGTAACCAAATGAATTTTAATAGCAGGTAGCCAACTGAATTTTTTCCCCAACATCTTGTTTTTATTGAGATTTTTCCAGTGATATACATGTTTTCAAGTTAAATGTGGATTTCAATGAGGATACAGAAAGGAAAGGGGGTGGGGGGGACAGTGCATCATCAATGAACAATTATACAAAACATATTGCATTGTGTACAGTTACGTCACATATGACAGGCAATAAACATATGGTAGATCACAGTTGACCAGGCACACTGATCTTAAACTTGTTGGGGACGTTTGGTATACCTGATAGTTAGGTGTATATTCCCTTGTGTCTAAGTACCGTTATCTGGCCTTCTCTATATATATCAGATAATTTACGTGCCCCCGTCCCCCGGGGAAGCCAGTTGCACCCAGCACTCTCATAGTTTGGTGTGTTTATGTTCCTGCCCTTTCAATCTGTACGCCATACGTTCAAAGTCGTGAGTCGAGTGCATGCTATCCCTCACCTCCCTTAGCGTGGGGGGCTCTCGTCTCTTCAAGTGGCTGACTATGCTGGTCTTGGCTGCCAGCAGGAGGTGGTAGCCAATTGTATTTTAATAGCAGGTTCATTGGCATGGCCAGCGATATTTTTTATTTTTGATAACTAAATAAATCTAGAGTGGTTTTGTAAGTCGTCGTTAGCATAGGTTCACTTTCAATTACTTTTCAATATACTATTTTAGTACATATTTATTCAATTGTGGAACTTCAAACAGAAAACAGCCAGAACCTTTTGGTGGAAAATAGTTTAACCCCTTCAGGACCGGACTGTTTTGGCCATGTTGTATGTTAAGGACTAGAGCGGTTTTAACACTTTTTGTTGTTTGTGATTAACTGTAATTTTCCTCTCGCTGATTTACTGTTCACACACAAGCTATATATTGGGTTTTTTCAGGACAAGAAGGGCTTTCTTTACATACCATTATTTGTATCATGTCATAATTTACTAAAAAAAAATTATAGTGAAAAATCGAGAAAAAAAACATGGTTTTTGACTTTTACTTGAAAAGTTTTTTACTTATCTACAAAAGCTAATGAAAAATAAAACTGCTAAATAGATTAAAAATGTTGTCCTGAGTTTAAAAATACCCAGTGTTTACATGCTGTTTTGCAAGTTATAGGGCTATAAGTACAAGTAGGACATTGCGCTTTCAAAATATATATATTTTTAAAGTTTATCAATAGTGACATTGTAACACTTATCTATCAAATCTTTGAATCACACTTCACATGTACATATTTTTTAAAGTAGACAACCCAGGGTATTCAATATGGGGTATGTCCAGACTTTTTCACATTTCTATTTATATATGCATGTAAATCCAATATTTGCCATATATACACACACACACACACACACACACACACTATATTATATATCTATTATTGAGCAACCAGAGCACCGGGTAATTTTTAAATAACTTTTTTGGTTGGAGTGCAGGGATTTATTATATAATTATATATATATATCTCATTTAGATGCAGCATATAGATATATAGTTCAAGTAGAGATTGTAGCCGTATTAGTCCAGTGATGTAGATGTAAAAAAAACAGATGCAATACCTTTTTTATTGGACTAACAGGATTTGTTAATGACAAGCTTTCGGGAGAACTTTTCTCGAGTCTAAAGCATTTCTGAGCAAAACGTATACATAGAATTCAAAGTTGAGTTGTGATACAGGGTTATCCTGTCTGCTTGTTTCATCTTTTCCCTCTCTCCCCCCTCACTCTGCTCTTCAACAAGATATTTATGACCCTCTGCTAAGATGGTGTCTATTTTCTAACAAACCTGTGTCTTATCTGCACTCATGTCGCTTTAACCCCTGTATCACAACTCAACTTTGAATTCTATGTGTTGTTTTGCTCAGAAATGCTTCAGACTTGAGAAAGGGAGGTTCTCCCGAAAGCTTGTCATTAAAAAATTCTGTTAGTCCAATAAAAAAGGTATTACAAGATAAGAATTTTATCTGTTTTTTTACATATATATATATATATATATATATATATATATATATATATATATATATATACATACACACACACACACACACACACATATATACACACACATATATATATATATACATACATACACACACACACACACACATATGTATTATATGTGCATATACACATACGTGTAATTTAATTCTGAGTGTATTTTTATATTAATATATGCATAATATATACACACACACACACTTATATTTTTATTCTTTAACTTTTTTTTATTTTTTTATTTTTTACCACATGCAGGGAGACTGCCTGTCAGCACAGGCAGTCTCCCTGCAGCAAGATACTTGGACGCCTATTGTGGCCATGTGACCGCTCTGTTAGAGCGATCACATGGCCGCGGAAACCTAATTCGCCGAGAGGGGACTGTCTGGGCTATCAGGCAGTCCCCCCACACTAGGAGCGGTGGCGATCAGGTCAGTAAATATTACCGTTATGACGGTTCAGGACCGTCACCGGTCCTCGCGGGTATTTTTCCGACGACTGTCCTAAATCGACAGCGGTCCTTAAGGGGCTTTATGTATTGTCATAATGCAGTTTGGGCACTACTTACATGCCTGGCTTTCAAAAGTTTAAAAACATAACACTTAAAGGGACACAATAGTCACCAAAACAACTTTAGCTTTATAGAGCAATGTTGGTATATAAATCATGCCCCTGCAGCCTCACTGTTCAATTCTCTGCCATTTAGGATTTAATTCACTGTGTTTATGCAGCCCTAGGCACACCTCCCTGCATGTGACTTGCACAGCCTTCCTAAATGCTTACTTTAAAGAGTCATATAATGTTTACACTTCATTTATTCTAAATTTAATTTAGAATCTCTTATCTACTGCTCTGTTAATAGTTTGGTAGAACCTGCAGGAATCTCCTGTGTGCAATTAAAGATCAAATTACAGAGCAGGAGATAAAGACATTTAAAATGTAAGTTGCATCTGATTTAAAAGGAAACCATTTTGCTTTCATGCAGGCTGTGTCAGTCACAGCCAAGGGAGGTGTGGCTAGGGCTAAACGGTAACAAAAGTGATTTAACTCTTAAATGGCAGAGAATTGAGCAGTGAGACTGTAGGGGCATGATCTATACACAAACAGTGATTAAGCTAAAGATGATTTGGTGACTATAGTGTCCCTTTAAAGGACTGAGGTCATTCATTTCTTCAGCCTAATTACTGTGTAACAAAATGCCAGTTTAGAAAGTAGTGTTTATAATACCCTAGTATGGCTGGACTTTGCTTAGAATTTCAACCTGACCTATATACTATTAATATCTTTTCATATGAACACCGGAATGTATCAGTACAACTAAGATCTAGATAAAAGCTACTAACAAAAAAAAAATATATATATGTTTTTACATGTCAAAAGAAAACAGCCAGGGGCAAAGGTTTTTCTTTAAATGGTTAGGCTTTTATCAGCAGAGTGACAAAGTGAAATACACAGCTAAAAGAGGAGTGATTACACAGGGGGGGAAAAAAAAAAAAAAAAAGAGAGAGAGAAAAGCTTACTTAGGTTAATGCAAATGGATGAAAAACATGCATGAAAATCCAATCTTTGCCATTTTTGGCCTCTTATGAATGATGTACACATTGATCAAAGAAAGACGCTATTGAAAATAGATGCAGCTAGACTTAACACCAATTAGTGTGTGAGGCAGGAAATTATAGCATGCCATTTCACCAACAGAACACGTTGGAAGCATTCATGGTGTGAAAGAGGCTCTTTATTTCATGCAGGTATGTTGGGTACAACCCATGGAAAAGGATCTCATACAACCAACTGTAAACTTAATTTAGTTTAGTTTCCTTTCCAGTCTTTAAAAAAAATTGAAAATATTGGCAGAACATTTATAGAACTGTAAAAGGTTGCCTATTCAAATCCAAACACACACACTTATGTTCTGCAAGTTTATGGTTTTTAGGTATGGAAATAGTCAATGAAAAGCTGCTTTGTGTTTATCTCCAGTTTCTTCCATTTGCAGACACGTCAAAGCATGACGACACTGCGATGGCTCCTAAGAACACATTAAATAGTAACTTTATAGAGATCCATCACCATCGCTAAAATCAAATGTGTTGTCGGTTTTCATAAGATTATCTCGAAAAAGAGAGTGGATTAAATTCCTTGTTACTTGTAACTAGGTGTGGACTGTGTCACAAGTCTAGACCAGTCAACACAAAGACAAGAATTTGGAAAGCCATAACTGTTTATTTTAAAGGAACAATCTGCAATAAAAATTAAACATATAACATCACTATTTAGCAGATGTATCCCAAATAAAATCATGCATGCATTTAGATATGCATTTTGTTATTGGGGCAGAGCTTAAAATTTCTAATTCTATGCTACTAGCCTGGCCTTAAAAGTTACTCACCACTGCAAGCCAGGAGAGAGCATGGAACATTCACATGGGGTAAATTTGTACTCTTCAGGCCTACAGTTTCACCAGCCAGTGTCAAGTGAAAATTCAGACCCCTGAATGGGGTATATCTAAATATTGTCTGTAGCATTTGCAAACCGTCCAAACTTTTTCCAAAGCACAAACTGAGAAGCCTCATTGAGAAGCCCTTTGATTCTCAGCTACAAGTGCTGCAAAGGTGGAGCTTGAGAGAGCTGGGAACACAAGGTACGAGTCCAGTTAACACATGCTCACCTACTGTGACTTGGGGGAAAGCAGTGGTAGGCGTGTTCTAGTAGAGCGCATCTGCCACTTCCTTTCGCTCATTGGAGCTATAGGAAGAGGAAGAGAACAGCCCTAGCGGTTTGAACAGCAAGAGGCGTTTCTTAACAGACTTTCTACTGTAATAGGCCCTTTTATAAAGTGGAATTAAAATGAATTACTTCATACACCTAATAAAATTCAGCACGCTGAAGCGCTTTATGTGTGTTCAGTTAACCTGTAATGATTACACACCAGTGGACATTTCAATACCTGTATAGAGATGTAAAAAAATAAACAAACAAAAGTCAAAGTTGAATTTCAATGTTTAATTGAATTGTGCAATCTCCAGAGAGGTAACAGTTCCTCTTTAAGCCTTAAAAATGCCATTTCAGTTTGCTCCTATCCGGCATTTAGTATATAAGCACTTATATGTCCTACCCAATTCGCTCATTTAGGAATTAAGTCATAGTCTTCATATTTGAAGATTTTGCAAAACACATCACAATTCAGTTCAATCAAAGCAAAGTCAAGGCAAACATTGCATACGAAAAAAAAAAAATAATAATAGAAACATGGTTTCATTTCTCCTCTTCGCTGACTGCCAGGAGCAAAGGACAGATTATAAATATGACTGCAGCGAGCCAAGAGGTGGTGCCCATTTGCTGAATACAGAGGTGTGGATTTCTACATATTTTATTTTTCAGCGCTGACAAATACAGATTTGTTAAATACAAGGATAAGTAAACATAATTTTAACATTTTGCATGTGACACTTCCTCTTTAAAAAGCCATGTTGTGACTATAGTAGGGTTTCTCCAAATCAAATGTATCTACATTTTGCTGTATGTATTTAAAAGTGCTACAAGGCCAGAAAATGCCCTATTGTAGGAAAAGTAGACAAAAAATAGGATGAATAAAAAATAAATAAAAAATGGTGAATAACGCTTCCAGACCTGATGCAAGGGTTGTGATACTACAAGCACCATAACCTCTTCATCTCACTGAAGTGGTTATAGTGTCTGGAGTCCACTTGGACATTAAACCATTTTCTTGGTAAACAAGAGTCCCAGCAGTCCATCCCATCTGTGCTGCTTGGAAAATTGAGGAAGCATTCCATTCGCCTGAGCAGCACAGAAGGAAGGAAGTGATTGGCTGAGAATGTTAGCTGACCGAATTCAGCCTATCACAGTGCCACTTCAAGTATTTATCACTATTAGTTTTTATTATTTTGGTGTTCTAAAAATAATGCAAACAGATAAATATATGGTAATGCCAAGGATGTAATACTCCATACGGTATTTTATTATCAGAGGTTAAACATGCCAAAACTTGAAAATAGACAATTGGCATTGAATGTAAATGCTGGTATAATAGTAAGTGGAGTCGCTTCCTCCTAACGATCCATTCTCTATGCAAGTTACAGCTGCAGCTCCCACAGACAATGTTGTTCCACATGAACAAAGGTGCCATTGGCGTACTTCATTTCCAAACATCTATGCGTTTCGTCCAACTTGGACTTTTTCAAGACTGTTGCGAAAAAAATCATATTAGGCACAAATCAAGTGTATTGCTTTCAACGTGTAAACGTTTGAAAGTGAAGTACGCTAAAGGCACCTTTCTTTATTTGCGGAATGCTGTTTTGCCTGTGGAAGCTGCCACTGTAGCGATTACAGAGAACGGATCATTAGGAGGAAGCTTCCTATTATACCAGCAGGTACAGTCATCAGCAAGTTCTCTTTAGTTATTGGCCAGCTGTGTATTATTAGCAGAGCAGTACATCCAAAAGTGTCACCGGATTGGGTCACCTCATATCCTAGATTCTGGGATTTATCTGGCTATTTGGAATACTGCCATTTTCACCATTTTACATATACAAGTTCAAGTGGAATTATCATTTTCTGTTCCCATTGAAAACAATAGAAGAGTTTGGGCAGCTGGCCCTACCCTTGTTTAACTAATCATATATCAAGGGCTGAGTCTTCTCTGTGTCTTTTTTATTTACTGTTGATTACATTTATGCAAGCTTAATGCCATATGAAGTGTTACAACCTTAGCGTGAGCATATATATTTACCTGTTTGCATTTATGGTACTCTGCTTCTGTTATGTTATATATTTTATACAATATAGGTTTTATTTACATTTGTATTTACTTTTGTGACAACAACCTTTTTTAATACACTTTGGGGCTGGTATATTTAATACTTTAGTTCTAAAAGTAATTTATTCCCTGGTGTTTTCTATATTGCGGTCATATAGAGCAATGAAGAAACTAAACTATGTCCAATTTTGACAGCCAAATGCTTTTCCTAAAACAACAAGAATCTTTGATTTTATTTTCCTTTAAATGTATCCTGTTATCTGCTTAAATCTTTCTCAATTATGTGCAGGGTTGGACGTGATGAAGGATGAAGAGAATGATGGAATACAGATATATCAGACAGGGATTGAAAAGGGAGTGGGTGAGGGTAACATTTAAGTCCATTGTACTTACTAGATCTAAGGCAGACCCGCCGCCTAAATATTCCATTATGATCCACAGCTTTGTGCCCTGTAAGAAAATAAGTTCATACCATAAAAGAATGCAGTGTACATTAATTGCATTTATCCCTTACGTGAGGACTGCATTTTTAAAATGTTGCATTCATTCTCAAGTCAGATAGTCAATGTATATATACACACACACACATATATATATATATATACACACACACACATTGTATATAATGTTCTTGAAATAATTTTGACATGGAGCAATTCAGTGCATTTCCACAGATTTACAGACAATTCATCAAAAGAATGCCTTCAATGTTCTAATATAATATATAGGGAGAAGTATTCTAACCTAAATCCTTTTTACAGTAAATCATTGGGGCATTCTCTCTTTTTAAATGGGAAATATGGAGTTTCTCTAAGCCATACCTGGTTGTCTCCTAGCTTTTTTTCATTGCATCTGATGTACATAACTTTTAAATTTTACAGCTTAGTGACTTCGTCAATGATATGAAGGGCACACAATAGCTCAGAAGTGAGCTAGACTAAAATAAACCCTTCCTGGACACTGGTTTATAGGACAAAAAAACCTCCATAGCCCATAATTAGAAGGCTTTTGATTGGTGGTGTCTCTTCCTGGTATGAGATAGGTGCACTTGTCATAACACTCATTCATGCCTAGACAAATTACATTCCTGGCTATCATGACTTAGCTGGGCCATGCAGACCATTTGGCAAGTTGAAATGTCCTACCTATTTAACATCAGCAGGTCTGTAGAGCCCTGCAGGGAAATGCAAAACATTTAAAAACAGGTCTGAATATTTTGTTTTTAACAGACAGTGGTCCTATAGGAGTTAAACAAGCTAATATAAGGAGAGTGTTAAAAGCATTACATGGCTCCAGCTAGTGTGGTTTGTTGCTGCAGGAAGGAAAAAAAATAAAAAAAATAGTGGTCTAAAAATAGATTTAGGCTTTAGTGGAGTATGGGAGAGGCACATGTCAGCCACTGAGAAATAAAACGCAACAAAACACAAAAAAAGGTATCAAAAACACAGATTAGTCCAACATTAACTTTCTTTTCTTTTATTTATTTTTTTAATCAAAACTGCTCATCAAATGTAAAAAAATATAAAAGTGTAATATAGCTGAACTAAAGGTAAACATGTCAATCTTTCCAAATGTGGTTTTCTTCTTTTAATACAAGGAAATTCTAGAATTAATTAAATGTCTAGCTAAATTTAGCTAATCGTACAAAGGTGACCATTGTAAGCTTTAACTTTTAGTGAAAGGAACTAGTGTCTAATATGATGCCAGAGTTGAACTACACTCTCCGGGATGATTCAGACACCATAATTGTGGGACAGACAGCCTATGTGTTTTGAATATGGGCCAAAATTTGCATTTTACAATGCTATTACATTCGTTACACTTAACTTTAGCAAGTAATTGGACGCTACACAACCCTTATGCCAGAAAGAGGTACAACTGCATTATGCTCACTCATGGCTTGTGCTGAGTTGTGTGATGTCAAACCCACTCTGAATCATTACAATGCAAACAATTCAAAGACAACACTGCTTACTGGAACTAGCACAGGTACATTGTGCACTGATGGACATTCGTGGGCTGAATCACCCCAGGTGGAAAATAAGAGGCAAGTAAGAGAATACCTAGGAAGGAAACTAAAATGCTACAGAAGTGATAAAGGCTTCATGCACACTGTCTGCACAGTGCCACCTCCTTGCACACAAACTCCTGTGACAACCAGAAATTCCACAAAAACACTTCAGAACACCGAATACACATATACACAATGTATTTAACCCCTTAAGGACTGGACTGTTTTTGCGATGTTGTACATTTGCGACCAGGAATATTTTTACACTTTTGTGGTGTTTGTGTTTGGCTGTAATTTTCCGCTTTCTCATTTACTGTTCCCATACAAATTATATATTGTTTTTTTCAGGACAAAATGGGCTTTCTTTACATACCATTATTTATATAATCTCATGTATTTTAATTTAAAAAAAATACAAATATCTGATGAAAAATTGAAAAAAATACATGTTTTTTGACTTTTACTTGAAAAATCTTTTACTCATCTACAAAAGCGAATGAAAAAAACTGCTAAATAGATTAAAAATTTTGTCCTGAGTTTAAAAATACCTAGTGTTTACGTGCTTTTTTGCTTTTTTTGCATGTTATAGGGCTATAGGTACAAGTAGGATATTGCGGTTTAAAAACATGCATTTTTAAAATTTATCAATAGTGACATTGTAACACTATTATCTGTCATAAATCTCTGAATAACACCCCACATCTACATATTTTTTTTAAAGTAGACAACCCAGGGTATTCAATATGGGGTATGTCCAGTCTTTTTTAGTAGCCACTTAGTCGAAAACACTGGCCAAAGTAAGCATTCATATTTGTTTGTGTGTGAAAAAAGTAAAAAAACTAAATTGAACGCTAATTTTGGCCAGTGTTTGTGACCAAGTGGTTACTAAAAAAGACTGGACATACCCCATTTGCAATACCTTGGGTTGTCTTCTTTTGCAAATGGTATGCCATCATGGGGGTAATTCTCATTCCTGGGCTACCATACGCTCTCAAAGGCAACGTAACTAACCTGGCCATTTTCAATGTAAAAATATTTGACCCATATATTTGACCTTGTAACTTTCAAAAATGCTATAAAACCTGTACATGGGGGGTACTGTTTTACTCGGGAGACATCGCTGAACACAAATATTAGTGTTTAAAAACTGGAAAACGTATCACAACAATTATATCATCAGTAAAAGTGCTGTTTGTGTGTGAAAAATGCAAAAAAAGTAACTTTCACTGACAATATCATCGCTGTGATATGTTTTACTGTTGTGAATCACTAATATTTGTGTTCAGCGAAGTCTCCCGAGTAAAACAGTACCCCCCATGTACAGGTTTTAGGGTGTCGTAGAACGTTACAGGGTAAAATACAGTGCTAGCAAATTAAATTCTCTGGAATTTCGGCCTGGGTTGGCAGGCAGGTCCCTCAAATTGCAATCAATAAAATTACTGAATTATGTAAAAATATTACATAAATACGCACGTAGAATTTAAATATATATGCATATTTATATATTTGAAGTCTACGTGTATATTTATATAATTATTTATGTAATTTTGTATATGGACGTATGTATATTTCTTATTATTTTTATTTATTTTTATATACATAGATATATATACAAATTCATTCTAAGTGTATTTTGATATAAATATATATATATTAATTTTAAAATACAGTTAGAATAAAATTTCATATAGCTATATAATTTTTTTTAAATTTTATTATTATTTTAAAATTTTTTTATTCATTTAAATTACTTATTATTTATATTTTATAATAATATATATATACAATATATATAGTTATTATATATATTATATATATACACGTGTGTAATTTAATTATAAGTGTATTTTTATATTAATATAAGTACATATTAATATAAAAATACACTTAGTATGACATTATATATATATGATATATAGACATATATTATATAAATATAATATATGTCTATATATCATATTTATACATATATAATTATTATTATTTTTTTTATTACCATTAACTATTTATTTTTTTGATTTTACACTAGCAGGGAGACTGCCTGTCAGCACAGGCAGTCCCCCTGCAGGCAGACACATGGACACCTATTGTGACCATGTGATCGCTGTGTTAAGCGATCACATGGCCACAGGGGTCCTAATCTGCCGTGGGGAGACTGTCTGGGCTGCAGACAGTCTCCCCACAACCGGAGCCACGCTGATCGCCGCCGGGGGAACGACGGCGATCAGGTAAGTAGCTCTGACCGTTAGGATGGTTCAGGACCGTCATCGGTCGGCAAGGCAAAAATGCCGATGACCGTCCTGAACCGTCCTCGGTCCTTAAGGGGTTAAGCATTCAGTGCATTGCAAAAGTATTCACTCCCCTTGGCATTTTTCGTGTTTTGTTGCCTCACAACCTGGAACTACCATTGTTTGAGGATTTGCATCATTTAATTTACAGAACATGCCCACAACTTTGAAGATGTGTTTTTTTTGTTTTGTTTTTATTATTATTGTGAAGCAAACAACAAAATAGGACAAGATAACAGAAAAGGCCAATGTGCAGAACTATTCACCCCCCTAAAGTCAAAACTTTGTAGAGCCACCTTTTGCGGCAATCACAGATCCAAGTCGCTTTGGATAAGTCTCTATGAGCTTGCCACATCTTACCACTGGGATTTTTGCCCATTCCTCCTTGCAAAACTGCTCCAGCTCCTTCAAGTTGGATGGTTTGCGCTTGTGAACAGCAATCTTTAAGTCTGACCACGGATTTTCTATTGGATTGAGGTCTGGGCTTTGACTAGGCCATTCCAATACATTTACATGTTTACCCTTAAACCACTCAATTGTTGCTTTAGCAGTGTGTTTGCGGTCATTGTCCTGCTGAAAGGTGAACCTCCGTCCTAACCTAAAATTACGCACAGAGTGGTACAGGTTTTGCTCAAGAATATCCCTGTATTTAGCACCATCCATCTTTCCCTCAACTCTGACCAGTTTCCCAGTCCCGGCTGCTGAAAAACATCCCCACACCATGATGCTGCCACCACCATGTTTCACTGTGGGGATGGTGTTCTTTGGGTGATGTGTTGGGTTTGTGCCAGACATAGCGTTTTCTTTGATGGCCGAAAAGTTAAATTTTAGTCTCATCAGACCAGAACACTTTCCTCTGTACATTTTGGGAGTCTCCCACATGCCTTTTAGCAAACTCAAAACATGCCATTTTGTTTTTTACTGAAAATAACGGCTTTCTTCTGGCAACTATGTGGAGCGTACGGCTTATTGTCGTCCTATGTACAGATACTCCAGTCTCTGCTTTGGAACTCTGCAGCTCCTCCAGGGTTACCTTAGGTCTCGGTGCTGCCTCTCTGATTAATGACGTCCTTGCCCGGTTCGTGAGTTTTGGTGGGCGGCCGTCTCTTGGCAGGTTTGCGGTTGTGCCATGTTATTTCCATTTGGTTACGATAGATTTGATGGTGCTCCTGGGAATACTCAAAGATTTGGATATTTTTATATAACCTAACCCTGACTGGTACCTAACAACATTGTCCCTTACTTGTTTGGAGAGTTCCTTGGTCTCCATGGCAGTGTTTGGTTATTGGTGCCTCTTGCTTACATGTTGCAGCCTCTGGGGCCTTTTAAAAAAGGTGTGTATATGTAATGACAGATCATGTGACACTTCGATTGCACACAGGTGGAAATCATTTTACTAATTGTGTGACTTCTGAAGGGAATTGGTTGCACCAGAGCGCTTTACGGGCTTCATAACAAAGGGAGTGAATACATACGTACATGCAAATTTTCTGTTTTCTATTTCTAAAAAAAAAGTTTTATGTATATATTTTTCTCATTTCACTTCAACTTAGACTACTGTGTTCTGATCCATCGCATAAAATTCAGATTAATAAAACATTGAACCTAAGGCTGTAATGTAAGAAAATAGGTAAAAAGTCAATGGGGGGGGGGTGAATACATTTGCAAGGCATTGTATATGGACATTCCAGGCAACGCTACAAACTGAAATGAAACGATGTACAGGTTTTAAAAGCAAGTGAACTATTGGCTAATCTAGCACATTAAGATTTTAAATTATGTACCTTGGTGGGGGTAATGAAAGTTGCAGGGAAACTACAGAGACCAACTGCCAATTACTGTGATTAGAAGACCATTTACAGTATGGCTTATAATGAACAACTACTGCAAGCAGAAGGACTTACTGATGGAATGCTTACTGCCACCTGACAACTACTGCACAAGGTAAAACTGTGCAAGCCTTTATGTAAACAGTAGCAATTGCAGCTAGAGACTTCTAAATGTCTAATAGAGCCTACTATAGATTATGGTGTTTGACAGAAGTAGAAATGTAATGTTAACCAGCACGGAGACATGATATGAAAAGTACCTTCAAATAGGATCCATAGTATTTAGTCACATAAGGGCTGTCGCACTGGCTAAGGACTGTTATTTCTTGCTGTATGTCTTCTATTTCATCCTCTGCTTCTTCCAGGTCGATAATTTTAATAGCAACCACATGCTGAGTCCGGTTATCAATTCCTTTAAATACTTCTCCAAAAGAACCCTTCCCAATGCGTTCCAGCTTCGTAAATAACTCTTCTGGATCAGCTCGGTGGTTCTAGAAAACGGAGAGAGAGAGGGGAAAAAAAAAAAATGACATTAAAGGGACACTATAGTCACCTGAACAACTTTAGCTTAATGAAGCAGTTTTGGTGTATAGAACATGCCCCTGCAGCCTCACTGCTCAATCCTCTGCCATTTAGGAGTTAAATCCCTTTGTTTATAAACCCTAGTCACACCTCCCTGCATGTGACTTGCACAGCCTTCCATAAACACTTCCTGTAAAGAGAGCCCTATTTAGGCTTTCTTTATTGCAAGTTCTGTTTAATTAAGATTTTCTTATCCCCTGCTATGTTAATAGCTTGCTAGACCCTGCAAGAGCCTCCTGTATGTGATCAAAGTTCAATTTAGAGATTGAGATACAATTATTTAAGGTAAATTACATCTGTTTGAAAGTTGTTTTTTTCATGCAGGCACTGTTAATCATAGCCAGGGGAGGTGTGGCTAGGGCTACATAAACAGAAACAGTGATTTAACTCCTAAATGACAGTGAATTGAGCAGTGAAATTGCAGGGGAATGATCTATACACTAAAACGGCTTTATTTAGCTAAAGTAATTTATGTGACCACTTTGTAGAATTGTCCCCCCCCCCCCATAAGTAAAAAAAATAAAATAAATAACTATACACTTTTTTTTTTTAATGTAACAGTCTTCATATATTTGTCAAAAATATGAAAATCACAGAAGTGAAAACTACATGGGAGTGATGGCTATCCTTAACACGCAATATATTTGTATACCACATTTGCCATAATGCTCAGAAAACAATGTGCAAATGAAACATTGAAATTAACTCTTACTTAGAACTCTGCCTAGTTTTGCTGTAGGAATAAAGAGGTAGTGAGATAAATGCTGGTATAAGTGGCTATGGCAATTTGTATATTCAGAGCTAGATGGGGACCGAACGTACTCTGTATCCAAAGTACTCGGTACACATGCCAAACAGATAAATACCATAGGCCTTAGCAACCTCTAACAGAAGCACACATGAGAAGCTCTGAAAAGCTAATCTCTTTTTAAAGAAACTATCAAATACCAAAAAGAAGTCTGATCTGCACAGAAAACATGGGCAAGTGCCAGAAGCCCTAGCTAGTGTCATGGAGATTGTTACAAAAAAAAAAACATTGTGAAGACAAACTACGTCTGCACTTGTTGGACACAGGCTAATACAGTCAATATAGGTCAGGAAGTTTAAAAAAAAAAGGGGGGGGGGGGATATTGGACAGGCAAGACACAGAGTCTATTGCTGCACAAAACACCCCTGACTTTAAATAATTATTCATTTTCCCCATCTCTATTACGCAGCTACAAATCCGGCAACCTATGAACTTACTGTTTAGTGAATTGAACCCTAGCATTTAATTCCCATACTAACCAAGAGAATTTACCATAACATGGCACTGAATTTAAACCTTGTTTTTAGCCCACTTCTCATATTAAAGGGGCATGAATCACTCTTAGACAACTGTCTCAATCAAAAGCTTTAGCTTTGATTGAGACAGCTGCCTCACTTTGCAGGCAGAAAAAAAAAAAAAAAGCAGGTAAATTTGATTTTCCCCCACATAATTTACCTGCTACTCTTTTAGGCTTTCCATACCCACTCCCGGGAGGATACTGATATAACCAGTGTCCTATCCCTAGGAATGCTGGAAAAGTACGTTGGGCACACCTGACAGATTTACACATGTGCAGTCAGGAGTCTGATCAGTGTGATTTATGCAGTAGGTTCCAGTGTCAGGTCTCTCTTTCTTGCTGCTGCACAACGCTTCTGCCTATTGTGGACCGGTCTGGGTAAGGGATTGGAAGGAGGCTGAGGAACTCCCCTAGCTGAGAGGCGTGCCAAACAATGCAATCTGACCAAGTTTATAGGATGTTTATAAACTTTTATTACATACGTTTTTCCTGTTCTTTTTAAGTTTGTATATTTGTTTAAAAGGGTTTGCGCACGGGTTGAAAAATAATAATTGTCAAGTAATGTTGCTTTAAATTGCAGAGTGTGTTGTGTGTCATTGATAAGGACTATATAAAGCCAAGGCAATTTAAAAGGTGCATTCAGCACAAACCACTACAGCCCCTTGTGGTGGTTAAGGTGCTTGTAATCTACGGGTGCCTTCCCCCTGGGTTTGTGTCACTGGCTTTGTTTTTCTTCAAAATTTAAAATTTCAGTGCCATCCAGAGATAAAATTTAGCTTGTAGCACATAAAGACTTAACACCATAAACACTAAGGTGCTGAAGTGATTATGGTGCTCAGATAGTCACTTTAAGGCTTGCAAATTAATACCCTTGCATGCTTGGACTGCTCTGCAAAGGAAGAATACAACCTTCATGGCAGAGTGACAAACCAAAACAGCTAGGATTAAACATTTCTCCAATTAGTACAAAGGTAGCAAATATGAATATTACATATGTAATGTAATGACAGCCTTCCTTTCTGGCCCGATAAAAAAAAACAAAAAAAAAAACAACAACAAACAATCTGATACCAAACAAAAGCAAGTGTAGCTGTGCATCCAAGTACACTTATATTAATATGACTTAACGTAGCTCATATAAAATGTAATACAAAACAGAAATAAAGAAGTGATGGGAAGGTTTAAAAATAGCAGGAAAAGTAGAAGCTTTTACATAGCATGATTTGAAAAAATAAATACAATTAAATCTGCATCTCATGATCTAAGGACTCAGGAAAGAAACATTTTCACATTCCATTTTTTTAACCCCTTAACGACAGAATGACAGTCTATGTGGTCATGAATTAGTCCAACATGATAGTTTAGTGCCAGATATATCGCAGCTGTAACTAGGGAAAGACAAATATTGGTACTTGGGACCAACATTAGCAAGCACATTGTAATCAAATTGAGGACCACACATTTCTAAGACAATTACTATGGCTTCCAAACTTACCAATGAGCCAGGTGTTTTTCCCCAGCTAAAGTGCAAACCATATTTACTGAAAAGACCACATTTATGCCACTCAGCATATCCTCTTTCTATAAATAAAAAAGCAACAGAGACAGTTTGTGCTTAAGTGCTGGTCCACTAAATGTGATTGGGGAAAATCATGGTTGAATAAAAATATCAAATATCTCTAGTTCTTGATGCACAGCAACTCTAAAAAGCTTTTAACCTTAATGAGTTAGAACTTGGAAAAAACCTAGAGCACTTAATAGTGGACATCAATAATCCTACCAATTAGTCATAATAGACCATCATGCATGCATGTAAATGCTTAACTGACATGTAGAGAGCATGTATTAAAGCACACACTACAAGCCTGGCATGGAGACTTTTTTTTTAGTACTGGGCCCAGACAACTTCAAAGAAACCTTTATAACGGTCACACACAAGTCAACATCAGTCAAGAGGAGTATCCAATGCCTATATAATTCCCCTCAATCATAAAACAAGAAGAAGAAGAAAAATACATACTAGCATACATAGTGCTAACGTCATGTTCAATATATGGCAGAATCATAGAATGAGTGGTTAGCTCTTTGTAGTAGCTCAAGGCTGGCAAACAAACATAAGAGTGGCAGTCCCACAACAGTTAGAAACCAACATTTTGGTCATTCCTGAAGTAAAAAGGTACAAATAAAATAAAGTTTTGTATGTAAGAAACTTGATGGGTCACCTGTGACACCCTGACAAGAGCTGCATTGTCCACAAAACAAAGTGATGTTCTTCACAATGTAATACGTCTACTAAGAGTGGCTTCATGTGGCACATCAAAGAGGTACCAAGTGATAAATGACAGTTCCATCAATACTGTGCAGTTTTGTGGCTGATACTAGGCCTGGTCTTTAGACGCCTGAGGCTGCAGCATTACCTATTTGTTTACAATGTTGGTTAAGGAATAAACAAAATAACCTACCAGTTTACCAAAGAAAGGCTGTATCAAAGCTCAAGAAACATTCTATGGACTGAAACACTATAAAGTTAGAAATACAGATTTATATTTCTAACGCTGTAGTGTTCCTTTAATGTGCAAGAGACAAAATAGTTGATTTTCATGTCGAATAATAAAAAGAAACAAATCTTTCATGCAAATCACTATTTTTGTTTTAATGGCTATACAAACACATTTATATTCTGAATGGATTTCATTTAGAATTAATCTTGTGTGGGCAGCTCAAAGATATTAAGTTGTAAATTAATTTAACCTGTTCTGTGCATCAGGAGCAAGCCCAGCGAGGGTGCATGCACTTTGAGAGAAATGTCTAAGTACAGATGTGCTTGTTCAACATTACTCAGCAGATTTCCAAGCGATTATGAGCTAGCTCTGAGCATCGTGATGCCAACACTCCTCACTTTACGTGAATGAGAGGTCAAATTACAGTGACACGAAAAAAAAAAAAAAAAAAAGATAATTTTACTCTTTGACATTGGCTTTTGTCCATAGGGTTACTCCAGCCACCATGACTACTTCTGCTTTTAGAAGTGGTTATGGTGGTATAAATCTATATGTGCAGCATTTGTGCTTGGAAACACTACACATACAGAGGTATATTCATTTTGTTGCTGGGTACAAGTTGAACAATTACTTTGTTCCGGGCTGCCTAATATCAGTTCCGTGAAAACATAGCGCATATGAGCATTTCCATTGGAGGCAGCAACTACAAAGGGAAATGTGCATCTTCCCTCCCACATTTATTTAAAGGGGACCTGTCTTTTGGTTTTGCTTTCCTAATGCCAATTGTATTTTAATAATTATATTCGCCTCTTTGTCACTTGCCTTTATTTACATTTATCTTTTCTTCATTTCTTTCTCCTCTTTTCCCTTCTATGAGATTGTGTTGTTTACTGATGGATTGTGGGTAAATCCAATGGGTATCTGAAACCTAATCTTGCTTAAATCTCTGCCCATTGTCAAGTTTAGTCGACTACATGAGAAAAAGTAGTCCCTATTTTTATTTATATATTTAATGACAACAAGAGCGCTCAGGTAATAATTAAAAAGAGATTCACACACAGGGAGCTATATAGAAACAGATTAGATGAAGTTTATTTTTCATGATAGAGCAACTTTAAGTATCCTGCGTCATCCCAGCCTCTCTAAAAAATTTGCATTATTATTAATATTAAATATGCCCTCACTCCCCACTGGCTCACGGAGTTTGCATGCGCTCTGAGCTGGTAAGATCGTTGCAATCAAAATCTTTCAATTTGGCGAGTATGTGACTGGACCTCACAAAGGTAGAGCTGATATCTGAAACCAGTGTGGGGTCCGTCCTGCAGGGGTTGATTTTCTTATTGCTACATCACAACTTGCTTTTACAGTCTGCAGAGTAGATTTGAACTTAAATTTTCTATAAGGACTTTATCAGTTACAAATAAAAATCAGAATCTCTCACAATGGGAAACATGGAGGGACTGTTGACATTTTATGATTTCTGCCTACTTTAACATAAAGCAAGGCAGATTATTGTGAGGGATTAATAGAAAATCCTAAAAGTACATGTACTTACCTATAGGTAAGCATTAAATCGGCTGAGATCATCACCATTGATAATCTTAGCCAAGGAGGTCACACAGACATCTGGCACTGGAGTAAAGGTAAGGAAAGACCATTATTTTATTTGTTTAGGGGGTGGGGTAATAACCAAAAGAGTTAGGAATGTTTGTTAAATGTGTTCCTTTAACAATGCATGGCTGGAGAAAGGTGTAGAGAGATCATGTGTCTTAAATAGCAGAAAAGTGTATGTACATTGTGTTTACACCACACAATACTCTGGCAATGTAGTTCATCAATATCTAGCCTTGGGCACTGCAGCTGTTGTGCAAAGTCTCTCATGATGTTCATACATCATGTAGCATGTGAAATGGGAAACTGGCTATCTAAGCATCATGGGAAAGGTAGTTCACAGCATCTGAATTTTAAAGGTTAACCATCACTGGTCTAGTTCATAAATAAATGGAAGGAGCAAGAGTGAGTGCCAATAAAACACGATCAGACTTGTTTCAAGTAAAGGTTCCATTAAACCGTCATTTCAAACACAGCTTCAGACCAAAAAGGATTGTGTAGATTTAATAAAAGAGGAATAAAAAAGGTAGCACAGACGTCAAAGTGCTTATTAAAATCGCACATTGTTCAAGCATGTTACAGAGTGGGTGGTAATAGAAGGCTCTTATTGTTCTAATTATATTGCATGATATTTCTATGACACAAGACAAGACATTATACTGGTAAGCTGGGGAAATTAGACAATATTTCCATTCTATAAAGTCTTTACCTTGACAGTGGAGCACCAGTATGTCAATGAATATATAAATACTTAATAACAAAGATTTACAACCACTTGAAACTATGAACACTGGTGGAAAATGTATTTTGGAAAATTTTCTAGCATCACCTAATTTTACCTCTGCTCCTGTAAGGTATGTACTTCTAGATATTTCTGGGTCTTGTACAAGAAAAATATTTTGTTACTCCAACTTTTTTTTTTTCTTCATATTTTTAATAATACTCTATTGGACATTGCTGTTTAGGACCCTTCACCACACCCCAAATAAATAAATAAACCTCCCTTAATCCAGTGCCAGGCAAGGCTCCAGGCACTGCTCAGCACGCCCCCTTTTCATAGCCCTTGATGGGACCATTTAACAGTCTCAGCTCGCATGAATGTGCTTTAAGCCAGCGAAGAGATGGGAAAGTGCAGGAGTAGGGAGGGCGGGAAAGAAAATAGCAGATGGGAGAGGGAGGACTACCATTAAGGAAGATTGGTGGACTCAAGCTTTGACAGCAAAGTGAGAAGCAGAGAATGTCCGTCGACAGAATGCTGTTTCCGTTGACACCTGAAATATGCACAGAATTTACATTTGGCAGCCAGGTCACATGTGAAAGAGTTGTGACTAGCTCCAGCACACAATTGTAAATAACTTTGGGTTTGCAGTGTTCAAGCAGAACTCCTGCACATCCAGACTCCTACCATCATGACCACTTCTAAAAGCAGAAGTTATCAAGGTGATTGGAGTAACTCTTTAATGCATGAGGGAAGAGCGTGTTGGTCCAATAAAGGCAGTTAAATGTAGTTTTACATTTTTTATAACTCAAAACTGCAAATTAGCTTTTTTTCATGTCAACAGATGACATTTATACAGTGGTAACTTGTTCTAGCAGTACTAATTTTACATTTGTTCATAAATTTGCAATTCCATCATCCATATTCCTGATCTCCTTGATTTACATAAAATGTGTTCATAAGTAATTAAAGGGAAACAGACACTTCCCATGTTTTTTAAGATTATATTTACTTGTCCCTATATTTAACAAATATGTATTTATAAGGTTTGAGAAACTGGATTAAATGTAGTAATTCATACCTCTGTACCTTGCAACTGGGCACCTCCATCATAGCTCCCTGTCAAACTTTGTCCTTTGCACCTGGCAGTCAGCATATAGAACATTTCTATTTTTTTCCTTGATTTGCAAAGTTGGCTCTGCCTTGTCTAAAGTGGATTTTGATGTAATCTGCTAAATCTTTAATATAAATTTAAATGAAAATGAACCATTTCATGAAAAAGCCATTAGTGATTTTAAAGGTTTTATTCAATGGTTATTCACTTGTTGGAAGAGAGCTGGTAATTGCTTCAGGTTTTGCCTTCTTTTCAAACTAACACATTAGAAATAATATTTTACCATATTGTCTACATAATGTCTACAAAGTATTGTAAATCCGCACTGCAGTGACCCTTTAAACGTGAACCATTTCCTAATACTTTCTACGCTATGTCAGCAGTTCATTTCATCGCCCCACACCCAATTTGAAGGAAAACGAAGTTCAAAGACAGGGATGGTAAAACTGAGCACACCTCAGGTTCAAATGACTTCTCTCCAAGCAATAAACACACCCATATGACAAGGATCCTTTTAAAGACCAAAATGAATTCACCGTGGGTGCACCAGGTTCTACATTTTCAAGTTACTTGAAACTGGGATGGTCACATAAAAACAGCTTAATAGTACAGAGGACTTCATAAATAAATTATATTTTCAAAGCTATAAAGATATTCAGAACATAAAAACACTAAGCTAAAAAAAGCTCTAGCACTCCAGGAACAGTGGCAAACTATGTACAGGAAGACCGATGACAATTTCACATATATAGTAGAAACAGAAATAGAAGTAGAGTTACAGAAAAGAAAAAAGCAAGGGCTCAAGTAAAACAAATTAAGGGAATACTCCACACACCTTAAATGCTACAGTGTGCTGTAGTGGTTGTGGGTTTTGGAGTGCTGTGCACTAAAGGTACCCAGACCTCCTCTACTTAAAGGAACACAAACATGTACTCCTCTCACTATAGCTATGGAAACACTATCTAGACTTCCGGTCCCCCTTTAATTAATATTAAAGATGAGATTTTTTACCTTAAGTCCAGTGTCTGTTATAGCTGGCTCAAACTTAACGATCTCAGACAACCAAATGCTTTCCCGTAGGAAAGTATTGGGAGACTATTGTGCACGTTTGGCAAAACACAGCGTTTCATCATTCAGCATTTCTTTGTGGGGGGTGTAAGGCAACTTATGTTTTGCTTCCTAATATGTTTCAGTACCTCTTATGGATCAGAGTCATCCCTGAGAGGAGGCTTTTCCCCTATTTTCCTATGCGAAGGTGTGTTTTTGTACAAGCCTTTTCAATTTTAATATAAATCCCCTTAGATACTGTTCAATAAGCTTATAATTTGTCCAAAAAAAAAGTTATGTCTTCATGGGGGGTGGGGGGGGAAGTGACAGGCATTTTCCTTAAAGGACCACTATAGTGCCAGGAAAACAAATTCATTTTCCTGGCACTATAGTGCCCTGAGGGTGCCCCCACCCTCAGGGTCCCAATCCCACCGAGCTGAAGTTTGAAGAAGGGGGTTAAACACTCACCTTTCTCCAGTGCCGGGCTCCCTCGGCGCTGGGGACTCTCCTCCCTCTTTGGCTGAATGCGCGGCAAGAGCTACGCGCACATTCAGCCAGTCCATAGGAAAGCATTCTCAATGCTTTCCTATGGATGCTGGCGTCTTCTCACTGTAAAAATCTCTGAAACTGCTATGTTTACAGCAGGCAGGGTTAAAGGACCACTCTAGGCACCCAGACCACTTCAGCTTAATTAAGTGGTCTGGGTGCCAGGTCCAGCGAGGGTTAACCCATTTTTTCATAAACATAGCAGTTTCAGAGAAACTGCTATGTATATGAATGGGTTAAGCCTTCCCCTATTTCCTCTAGTGGCTGTCTCTTTGACAGCCACTAGAGGCGCTTGCGTGCTTCTCACTGTGATTTTCACAGTGAGAGCACGCAAGCGTCCACAGGAAAGCATTGTAAATGCTTTCCTATGCGACAGGCTGAATGTGCGCGCAGCTCTTGCCGCGCGTGCGCATTCAGCCGACGGGGAGGAGAGAAGGAGGATCGGAGGAGGAGAGAAGGAGGATCGGAGGAGGAGAGCTCTCCGCCCAGCGCTGGAAAAAGGTAAGTTTTTACCACTTTCCCCCTTCCAGAGCGGGGCGGGAGGGGGACCCTGAGGGTGGGGGCACCCTCAGGGCACTATAGTGCCAGGAAAACTACTGTTTTCCTGGCACTATAGTGGTCCTTTAATCCTATATGTACCTGGCACCCAGACAACTTCATTGAGCTGAAGTGGTCTGGGTGTCTATAGTGGTCCTTTAAAATCAAACAGTAACCAGACCACTCCCCTACATAACAAGGCCTTGCAACAAACAACTACCTTATATTTCCCATAATTGCATTTTAACTTTATATCGTGCTTATCATGGAACTTACCTGTCATGAAAGGGTTAACACGACAGAAAATGTGTCTTTCTGGTAGATAAAAGGATCACATGAAAATTAATTTGGAGGAGACCCAAAATGTCTCAGGAACAGATGCTGTTAAGAATGGTCAGTATTTCAAGGCGCTCAGAACAGTGAAAAATCCAGAACGAAAGGACATTCTTTGTCTTGGTTTAAAATGATCTCTGCTTATTATGTTAAATACTTATGTTATGTTTCAGGACCTCTCTCTTATCTCAAAGTATAAAAAGAAGGTAAAATAAGAGTTGTAGAATTATCCATGATTAACCCCTTAAGGGTTGAGCCAAATGTACACGGTGTGATCAAAACAAACAAAAACTTGAATTTGCGCTATAAGTCTGTTCAGGCATAATTCGCCTCTTTCATATTATGTGCACCTACACTATTTATATATTATTTTATTCAGGAGAAACAGGGCTTTCATTTAACATCAAATATTTAGGTATGAACCATAATTTAATAAGAATAAAATATTTTAAAAAATGGGAGAAAATAAGAATTTTTAAAAAAAAATTTGTTCTACGTGACATTTTAACTGTGAATGTCATAATACTGTTTGCTTTTACTGCAATAAAATACACATTTGTATTCAGCGATGACTCACGTGTAAAACAGTACCACTATGTACAGGTTTAATGGTATTTTGGGAAGTTGCAGGGTCAAATATAGCATGTTACATTTTTCAGTTTTTTCACATTGAAATTTGCCAGATTGGTTACGTTGCATTTGAGACCATATGGTAGCCCAGGAATGAGAATTACCCCCATGATGGCATACCATTTGCAAAAGTAGACAACCCAAGGTATTGCAAATGGGGTATGTCCAGTATTTTTTAGTAGCCACTTAGTCACAAACACTGGCCAAAGTTAGTTTTAATATTTGTTTGTGTGTGAAAAATGCAAAAAAATCTAATTTGGCCAGTGTTTGTGACTAAGTGGCTACTAAAAAAAAACTGAACATACCCCATTTGCAATACCTTGGGTTGTCTACTGTTGCAAATCTTATGCCATCATGGGAGTAATTTTCATTCTTGGGCTAATCGCACAGTCTCAAAGGCAACATAACCAGCCTGGCGAATTTCAATGTAAAAAAACTGAAACGCAAGCCTATATTCCAAGCAAATCTGTCAAGCCCTGTGCTACTAAATAGAGATGGAAGGAGAGAGGGAGAGAGAGAGTGTGTGTGTTGCACAAAAAGCCTTTCACTGAAGCACAAATAATACAAAAGGCCTACATGCAAACACACACAAAACAAGCAAAATACATCAGCATACATACTGTTTAAAAATAAAATAAGACTAGCACACTTTAAAGTCTTGTTCTGTCACAGTTTAGCTACAAAAGGTTGCCTTCACCTATGCTAAACAGTTTATTAAAAGGGTCATTAAGCTCCAAAAGACTACAGGGAGTGCAGAATTATTAGGCAAGTTGTATTTTTGAGGATTAAATTTATTATTGAACAACAACCATGTTCTCAATGAACCCAAAAAACTCATTAATATCAAAGCTGAATATTTTTGGAAGTAGTTTTTAGTTTGTTTTTAGTTATAGCTATGTTAGGGGGATATCTGTGTGTGCAGGTGACTATTACTGTGCATAATTATTAGGCAACTTAACAAAAAACAAATATATACCCATTTCAATTATTTATTATTACCAGTGAAACCAATATAACATCTCAACATTCACAAATATACATTTCTGACATTCAAAAACAAAACAAAAACAAATCAGTGACCAATATAGCCACCTTTCTTTGCAAGGACACTCAAAAGCCTGCCATCCATGGATTCTGTCAGTGTTTTGATCTGTTCACCATCAACATTGCGTGCAGCAGCAACCACAGCCTCCCAGACACTGTTCAGAGAGGTGTACTGTTTTCCCTTCTTGTAAATCTCACATTTGATGATGGACCACAGGTTCTCAATGGGGTTCAGATCAGGTGAACAAGGAGGCCATGTCATTAGATTTTCTTCTTTTATACCCTTTCTTGCCAGCCACGCTGTGGAGTACTTGGACGCGTGTGATGGAGCATTGTCCTGCATGAAAATCATGTTTTTCTTGAAGGATGCAGACTTCTTCCTGTACCACTGCTTGAAGAAGGTGTCTTCCAGGAACTGGCAGTAGGACTGGGAGTTGAGCTTGACTCCATCCTCAACCCGAAAAGGCCCCACAAGCTCATCTTTGATGATACCAGCCCAAACCAGTACTCCACCTCCACCTTGCTGGCGTCTGAGTCGGACTGGAGCTCTCTGCCCTTTACCAATCCAGCCACGGGCCCATCCATCTGGCCCATCAAGACTCACTCTCATTTCATCAGTCCATAAAACCTTAGAAAAATCAGTCTTGAGATATTTCTTGGCCCAGTCTTGACGTTTCAGCTTGTGTGTCTTGTTCAGTGGTGGTCGTCTTTCAGCCTTTCTTACCTTGGCCATGTCTCTGAGTATTGCACACCTTGTGCTTTTGGGCACTCCAGTGATGTTGCAGCTCTGAAATATGGCCAAACTGGTGGCAAGTGGCATCGTGGCAGCTGCACGCTTGACTTTTCTCAGTTCATGGGCAGTTATTTTGCGCCTTGGTTTTTCCACACGCTTCTTGCGACCCTGTTGACTATTTTGAATGAAACGCTTGATTGTTCGATGATCACGCTTCAGAAGCTTTGCAATTTTAAGAGTGCTGCATCCCTCTGCAAGATATCTCACTATTTTTGACTTTTCTGAGCCTGTCAAGTCCTTCTTTTGACCCATTTTGCCAAAGGAAAGGAAGTTGCCTAATAATTATGCACACCTGATATAGGGTGTTGATGTCATTAGACCACACCCCTTCTCATTACAGAGATGCACATCACCTAATATGCTTAATTGGTAGTAGGCTTTCGAGCCTATACAGCTTGGAGTAAGACAACATGCATAAAGAGGATGATGTGGTCAAAATACTCATTTGCCTAATAATTCTGCACTCCCTGTACATCCTAATGCAGTGGTTTTGGTGCATAGTGCTGTCCTTAGACAATGTTAAAGATTGCTGCTTATGAGAAACATTTCTATTTGTCCTTAAGCACACATCTAGCACTTCCTTATTAAGACCTTCCATTTTTTAAGGTCTTTACAATCTGAGTCATTACAAACAGCATGATGTTTAATATGGCTCATGCTTCACAAAAAAAACAACCCAAAAAACTGGATTCGATGCTCATCTACGAGAAGCACTGGGCTGGTGTAAAGTAGCAACTGCAGTCCATGTCCTAGTTAGTGAATTGGAGGTTTTGAATCTACCTTGCTAGCCTGGTAACTGCAGTGTTGGTCTGGACTGGTTTTGTATCATCAGTAGGGAAGGGAGGGGTGGCTAGTCACACCCACTTCCCAAATACACAGAGACAATGGGCTCAGGCTAGCAGGTATCAAGAATGCTTGCTATGGTTTCAGAGTGCCTGCATAATATTATGTTAAAGCCTTCCGTAGGATTTCTTTTTAGAATTCTCATATGTGTAATCCCTGGTCATAGAACTGATATAAAACATTTTTTTTAAAGTTGCTTGTGCTACAATCTATTTAGCAGTAGCTGTTATGGTGATTGGAGTGCTCCTTTCAAGTTTGGATATTTCCATGAAAATAAAGAACTTGAAGGCACAAGTCTCACTTGACCCGAGTACAAAATAATTATTGGGGATGACTACCTGACTAAATACCCGATACCGTCCCTAGACGCAGAAGTCGCTGACCTTATTGACGAACCCATCACAATCGAGGAACTAGCGCGAGCGGTCAAACTCACTAAACCGGGCAAAAGCCCGGGGCCGGACGGCTTACCGGTAAAATACTATAAGACTTACGCCGAGGACCTTTACCCACCCATGGTGGAAGCATTCAAAGCGATACGAGATGGGAATCACATCCCTACACAGGCCCTAACAGCCCATATCACCATCATACCCAAGGACGGCAAAGACAGAGCATTGCGGGAAGTACAGACCAATATCGCTAATCAATTGCGACATTAAGCTACTGGCCAAGATCCTGGCGGTGCGTCTCACCAAGCATATCCCATCTCTGGTCCACCCTGACCAGGTGGGATTTGTGACAGGACGCGAGGCACGCGACAACACCATCAGAGCGCTCACACTCATGCACGGAGGTGGGGGCACAGACGGAGGCCTTCTCTTGTTGTCCACTGCCTTCAATAGAGTGAGCTGGGACTACCTCTTCGAAACGCTAGCCCACATGGGGCTGGGTCCACACACGCGACGCTGGATAGAGACTTTTACCATACACAACGGCACGCGACGGGGTGCCCCCTATCCCCGCTTCTGTTCGCTCTCGCCCTGGAACCATTCCTTACACACATTCGCCACAACCCAGACATAACAGGCCTGATGACAGGCCAAGTACACCACAAGGTAGCAGCGTACGCGGACGACCTACTTTTTGTGGTGACCAACCCCGAAATCACCCTTCCAAACATCCAGAAAGACTTGCGGACATTTGGCGATATATCTTACCTAAAAATTAACTACGGTAAATCCTACATCCTTAATGTAAGCGTCCCCGCCACACGCGCAGACCCTCTACGACGCAGTTTCCCCTTCCAATGGGCTGAACATAAAATTAGGTACTTAGGAATATGGCTGACTAGGCAGAGCAGAGACCTATATAGGGACAACTTCGCCGTTATACTGCACACGTTCCAAAGAGACTTGAGGGAATGGTCCTACCCGCACATATCGTGGCTCGGGTGAGTGCAGGTCATAAAAATGAACTTCCTTCCGCGCCTTTTATACCTCTTCCAGGCCATCCCCATCGTCATACCGGGCCCCTTCTTTAACACACTCAGAAAAGAATGATAAAATACGTATGGAACGGGGGGAGGCCCAGAGTGAAATTTTCCACACTGACACGTCCTAAAGACAAAAGGGGACTAGCCCTCCCAGACTTCCACCAGTACTACGTGGCCACACACCTACAGAGAATCATGGAGTGGTCTAAGGACGGAGTACGCAAACTATGGAAGACGGTTGAAGAGGCAGAAGCAGGCAGACCGATCTCGGGCCTTCCCTGGGGCCAAGACACAACCGATAGGGGTGACATGTCCATATACACGAGACACACCATGAGAGTGTGGAGGAGGGCCGCGAAGGGGAATATGGCACCGTACCCCTCCCCCCTCCTACCTCTGACACAACGAGGACTTCCCTCCGGGTTTAGACCCAAGAGCCCTTAAACACATCCTCCCGGACAGATCCCCACGCCTACACCACCTCCTCCAAGGAGGGAAATGTAAAACGCTAACGGACACGATGGGAGAGACGCCCCCGACCTTTATGCACCACTTCCGACATGCCCAACTGACCAACTATGTCCACTCCCTGCCACAGGGACCAGCACTCGCCAGAGACCGGACCACGATAGAAGTGGTCAGCTCACACCCAGACCCGCTCCCACACGGAGTGTCCTTCCTATACTCCATGCTCCAATCAGAAACCCCGTCCGAGACACCCCTCTTCATGGGAAAATGGGAGGCCGCCCTGGGTAACACACTTACAGAAGCAGAATGGGAATCCATCTGCTACCTTACACACCACTGTTCCACTCACAGCAAAACACAGGAAACGGCCTACAAGCTTCTAACACATTGGTATAGGACACCACACCTCCTTCACCACGTAAACCCAGACCACTCCAGACTCTGCTGGAAATGTGAACGAGAGGTAGGCACCACGAAACACATTTGGTGGGATTGCGCGCTGATCCAACCGTACTGGAAGAGGATACACAAAATGCTAGAGAAATTCACGGATGCGACCCCCCCCCCGGAACCGGCAGCGATGCTCCTACACCACACAACAGTTCCCCGCTCCAGATACAAAAAATCCATGACTATTAGAATACTTAACGTGGCCAAACGAGTGCTCCCCCAATTCTGGAAACAAACAGTGATACCCCCACTTTCGACCTGGTTTAACCAAATGGAGGAACTTAGGACGATAGAGGAACTGACCATGACGGCCAGTACTACACCCACTACCTACATGAGCATTTGGACGCACTGGATTCTAGAGACGGCAAAAGAAGAATTCCAATTAGAACTCAGACCTAACACTGACGGACATCACAACACAGACAGATAGAACTCAGAACACACACCTCGGACGACGCTAGACGGCCGACAGACGAACTGAACGAAACCACCCCCTTTTCTTCCCCCTCCCTCCCCTTGAACCACCCGAGCATTATCATTGATTGGATCATCCCCACCGTACCCACAGCAATCAGGGATACCATAATCAGGAACAACAACAAACACAAACTGGTACACACTTCCAGACCAGCCCGGGATGACACCCCAAAGCCAAAACACACGAACAACTGTGATAATCCTGGACAGGCCCGGCAATGACACGGCTAATGCCGTAACCACACACACAACAAAAGGGTACCCCCTGCCCGCAATATCACCATATCCCTGGTTAAACACGGGAAATACTGATAGTAACAGCGGGGAAAGCACAAGCCCAACACGGACAATACCGCACGGCTAGAGACACAGGGCTCTATGAGATGCCCGACGACAGAGACCATAGGGGAAGCCTACGTTCCCAGGCTCCCACGCAGAATGAGCCCCTGACACACTGTGTGACCAGACAAGATAGCAGAGGAACGCCGACACATAGACGGAACTCGAACACAATAGAAGGGACACAACGCATACACTATAGTTCCTACGTGTACAAACGACACAGAGAACGGAGCTCACTCCACAAACACTGACACCTAATCAAGGACTGATTAACCCAGTTCAAGGAAGGTTACCTGGCATATTGTTCACCCAGTTTATAAAAACGTAACGTAACATATTCCCGAACAAGCGTAACACCAGAAAATGGGGACCTGCGAGTCCTTCTATGATGGGGGCCTGCGAGCCAGACTTGTTATCTTTTGTCATACCATGCAATGGAGACCTGCGTGTCTCATCGAACCTTAATACATGCAAAATGAATAAAAAATCATTCACAAAAAAAAATAAAAATTATTGGGGGCCCAGTTACTGCTGACTTGCCATCCCTCAGGCAATTTACTTTGAGGTGCACCAATAACCCTACACATTATTGAAGGACTACCCACAAACAACTGTAATATTAGCACTGTTCACAGATTTACCTAGCTCTTGCAGCTTTCAAGTTTGCAGTCAAAAGTTGGACAGCTTTGAGACAATCTGGTAGGAACCAGGGGAACGGAAAAACAAAAACACATGGGAGGACACTCAAAGACTCATATTATAACCACCAAAACTAGCAATGATGGTTATGGTGCTTACAGTACCTTTTTACAAAAATCTTGATGTAGAGCCTTTCATTTTTAACTTTTAGGTGCACATTTCTTCCACTGCTCAAAAGTTCAGTTCTGTGAGCATATGTTGCCTACCATTACATAACATATCTGTTCCACTTCACAATAACACAACTTACAACTAACTGGATGTTTTTACATGGTCTGGGAAGAATTTAACATGCGGATGCCCTCGGCAGTGACATGCTATGTCCAATGCTTACCTATGTAAAATGAATAGGGTGTACTTTATTTTACCCAAGTGTAATGGTGTTGGCACAAAAATCTTAAACTAGCAATACAAAAGAGGTATCCGTATCAAAATAAAAATAAAAAATATATATTGATACAGTCTATGCGTGATCAAAAGACAGGATTTTTGAGCCATAAACACACTTTGATGTGCTGAAGGGAGTAGGCAGTTTCTGTAGGAGTACATGAACTGCAGGCAGATTGGTGCTTACACAACACAAAGCAGTGTACATTCAGGTATGGTAATATCAAGTCAAAGGGCAAGAGGCATTAGCACAATATAACTGGATAAACTGCATTCTAACCCATTATGTCACTTATTAATCTGCGTACTACCATCCTGCAACTGCCAAAAGTGGTAAATCACCACATTGCATAATACTATGATTGTATTGCATTAGTGTTTTGATATGCTTTCAAACATCTCAACATCAACATTTCAACATTAAAAAAAAAAAAAGACGATAAATTTTTGTAAACCTTTTAAAAACACAGTTTGTGAAGGTTTTTATGATTTATAGGAGGACCATCAGCACAAAATATAAAGTAGATCAGAAATCCCACAACATTTGTGGATCTGCTTCAAGGATACATAATGACCACTAAATACGTACTTTAATAAACGTGTTACACTAGAATCACACAAGACACTCAAAACACCTAACACAGTGATGGCGCAATTATAACAAGCCAGCACATCACAGAAATAGCGCAGGTTTCAACAATCAGTGATGGAATCCATGCAGCCACTGGGATTCCCAGCCAGTGCAAGCGGAGGCACTCTGGCTCAAAAAGTCAGTGGCCTAGCCCTAAACCTTTGCTAACCACAGTTATCACACCAAGAAGTTTAGCATTCCTTATGACAACAGCAGTTATCATTTATTAGAGTAATAAACATGTATACATTTGTATGACAGATGCACCAAAGGTAAATATCATATGAACTGGTCCCTTCTCATTCATTTCACAACCTTTAGTGTGATTGCTTGACTTATCAGAAGTGAAGACTGAATGTCCCAAGTAATGAACCAAGGTTTTGGGGATGTTGGGGAGTAGGACAAAATTCAAAACAGAATTAGAGCACAGCCCTTCAAATGAGTGTACAAACAGCTTCTAGTTGGCTAGCATACACAGCATGCTTTCCATAGCTGGGCCAAATATGAACAAGGCAAAAGTATTGGGACACTGACCGGGGTGGTGCTAAATAGTAGTGAGGCAGATTCTCACAGGCTTAGAGACCAAGAATGCATCAAGATACACATGCAGGTGTATAACAATGGAATCCCTGATAATATAAGTGCGCAGAGGAGAAACGAAAAAAACAAAACAAAAATCAAATAAAAAATAAATAAATAAATCTGAAATGTCTAACCAGTTCATGATACAGAAAGCTAGATACCAAATATCTCACTTTGCTGCATTTCTCCTTCAACATGCATTTTACCATTGTATACTACAATTGATATATTTTACAAACTGAATACAACATGAAGGAACAATTCTGTTTTCAAGTTACCAAGACAACACTGTTTCAAATAACCTCATTTATAAATCGTCAATGAGTTCTGCAGCCGTAAATATAGCAAGGCTATTACAAGACTCGTTTGGACAGAGACAAAACACACTTTGAGCTAAGAGCTACGTCAGCACGATATCTCCTGTCTAAAAAAACTAGTGAAGATAATGGACAGGAGAAGAACAAGCTGTTTGATAATTAGAAAAGGAAGCAGACAACCGGGAGTTGCTAGAGAAAAGCAGACCTCGCCCACATATCAGGTTGCCACATGCAGAAAGTAACTAACTTGTGTCAGATCTGGTGAAAATAAGATTACAGTCACAACCTTTTAAGGGTCATAGAGATATACAACAAATCGCAACGCTACAGTCAACATACCTGTATATGCTTTGGCGACATGTCTGTAAATAAATACAAAAACTGTGCTTGCTAACTTTTGAGAATCCATTGGTTGCAGACTTCATCTCACATGGCACTCAGCCAGCCTTTATGATGATTAAAGGGTCACTACATGCACGCAGACCACTTCAGATCGTTGAAGTGTTCTAGGTGCAGTTACCTTAACCCTGCAATGTAAACTTTGCAGTGTTAACACTGCCTCTAATGGCTGTCAACTAACCACTTCCTGTAGTTTGACTTGTGAAACAATGCTGGACACCCTCGTGCTTTGCATGAAGACATCCAGCATCAAGCAAAACAGAGTCAGTGTTTTCCTATGGGGAAGACCTAATGCACGTGTGGCACTTGTTGCGCATGACCATTAGGTTTCCCCGTTGGCTTACATCAGAGAAGCCCAACCCCGCCCGAGGGACATTGGCGCTAGATCATATAAGTGAAAGCAAGCATTTAAAGTACATTCTGAACACAAATATTGAAATGAAATCAATGCAATTGGATGCTGGTAACGGCTATATTTAAAATGTTCAAAGACCTTTAGATAAAACGCATTAAAAAAAGATAAAAATAAAGTAATTAACATCTATATGTTATGCCAGTAGATTTACTAGCAGGTGTGTATATTTTCTGATAATTGTAATAAAATCTATTGTCCATCACCTGTCAATCAATAGTCAACATATATTTGTTCTTGGTTAGAGCACGCCGCTCGCTTGAGTACTACGCGATATTCTGTTTTAACACTAAAAGGGTGGCAATGAAGTTAACATATAGGCTCCATGGTAGAGGAGGAGACAGGGGTGGGAGCAAGGTGAAAGAAAGAAGTGGGCGTGACACCCACAAATGTCAGATCATGATTGAGATTAACAGCTGCTAAAGCAATTAAATATATAATTTAGCTTATAAATTATTTTTACTTGATAAAATATATATTCACTGCATTAGAAGCATTATACATTAAGGACTGCCTGCAGAGACCTGTTAAATGTAATTTGTACCATTTAAAACAATATGTTCCACTTAGAACCCTTTGTGCTTAGGCACTTTAACATGAAGTCAGACAAACATTATGTATTACACAGCAGTGTGTCAATTAACCATGGTGTGGCTGTAACCCTCAAGGATTACACAAATGAAATTATTTAGCTATTAAAAAAAAAAAATCCTAATCTGCATCGATGACTGATATATACCTAAACAGGTATACAACATTCAGACAATTCTTTTTGCACTTTAGATTGACATGTCATCAAAACATCCCAAGTTTTGATGCCGACCTAAAACCAAAACCCCAAAAAATTGGATATATATACACACTGCACAAGGACAGTACCAAGGACAGTACATTTGCCAAGGACAGGCAGACACTGGGGACCTCAGGGTAGTGATATCATTTATAAGGCAGGAGCTTGGTAATGTGGACTCCATATTTTTTTTATTTTATTTTTTTAAGCTTTTTCAGTCCAACCTGTCCTGTGTGAGACGTAAAGGCAACTATCCATTTCCTTGATCATGAGAAAAAAAAATTTGTGTGTGTCTGTACGTACACACACACCCCAATAATTACTGTTGTACCTTCTCTCATTTAAAATAAATGATTGTGGCTCTCAATTGGAACTCATATGTGGAGTCCACATAGTTTGCTTACATTCCTAACTTTTTAAACCATTTGATAGAAAACTAGGAATCCAGTGAAGTTTCAGCCAAAAATGAAAGCTAATCAATGACCACAAAATAAATTAACCAAGAAGAGTAAAAGGTTAGAAAATTCAGTTGGGACATATGTATGGTATTGTCTTCTTTGAAGGATACGTTTTTTTCAGCATCAAGATAAGGTGTTCTCTTAAAGTGGTTTTCCATTTACTTATTAACAGAGCCAGAGATTGTGTTACAATTACTGTGTTACCAACCTGTAGATATTAGGCCAGGCCTTGCCATGACAGTTTACTAAAGAATGTTGATGAAACCATAAAAGGAAACAGAATTCACACACAAATAGAACAGGTTAGGTTAGCAGTAAAATCATTCAATAGTAACAGCAATGCTGATGGTCATTTGCTGTATACAGATATAAGCGTTTTTTACTGCATATCCATTTACAAGTTTCACCGGTCTTTAGAAAAATAAATAATTTTTAAAAATATATATTGCCTTATCACAACCAAGCAAAAGCTAAGTATATAAAGTTCAATTCTGGTTGTATCCGTTGTCAGCATTAGTGTTTAAAATGAAAATATTAATAAAAAAATAAAAATAAATTGCATTTTACTAAAGCATGTAAGCCAAGCATGTCAAACTCGCAGCCCACAATGGACACCTTTGCAGCCCACAATGGACATCTTTGCAGCCCGGCGAGCTGCGCCTAAATGCTTGATGTTAAAGCAAAGTTGGCACCTGCTTTCCCCAAATTGCAGGTGCCTCACTGTTCCTGCTCCTCACTGTTCCCTCCAGAGCTCGTCTGTAGTGAAGCTGGGTGCCGGAATATGATGTCATATTGCGGCACCCGGCATCACTAAACTGCGCGCGAGGGAGCAGGGAGGAGCAGATAGAAGATAGAAGATCCCCACTGGACCCCAGGGAGAGGCACCACATCAGCTCCCAAAGGTAGGGAGCAATAAAGAAAATGATGTGTGCAAGAATGTGTAAGAGAGTGTGTTGGTCAGTGAGTGTTAGTCAGTGTTGCACTGGCTGCGACTGGACAGTGGAGTACCTGGAGGTGAATGGAGGCACGCAACGGCATATCACATTCCGACATGACATTGACGTACTCCACCTTCACAGGGTTTCCAGAAGTAGCGGGAGGATCAGATATGGCACAGGGTGTGGACGGCGCCATTTGGGGTATACCAGAGGCTGGACTCCGGAGTCGCATACTGGCAGCGGCATTGTGAGTGGAGTCTGCTTGTTGGCTAGAGGGGGGTGCTGGGATTTAGTAGAGGGAGGGGGAAGCTGGGGGGGGTTATGCTCTACTTTTAAAAATAAAACTTTTTTCTATGAAAGTTTAAGAGTTTTTTTTGCCGCCCACATAAACTTAAACCTTGTTTATGTGGCCCGTGCTAGACTGAGTTTGACATGCTGGATGTAAGCAATCATAAAGGACTATAAGAAAAGCATGCTCAACTTTAAGAAAGCTCTGTGCCCTTTAACAAAGATTCTTAACAGCTTTTAAAAAAACAAAACAAAAAAAAAAAACAGTATAATACACATGCATAAGCCTCCACTTAGCAGTACAGAAACCCAGAACCTCCTGCTTACATGCTTCCATAAGCTCATTGGCTAAGAGTGTCAATGATCTAACTAAGTCAAACCATTTAAAATCTATTTGACTACTTAAATTGTGGGGGGAGGGATTGGTTTATAGTTGGTCAGGTAACCCTAGTTAATTTGTTTGAAAAAGATTTAACACTGAATGGATCGACAGTGCCAGAGGACACTACGATTAAACAGTTATAGATCTTACAGCATCCCTTTACAGATTATATATTGCCTAGTTAAGTTATTTTGGTGTTTTTACATGCAAAGGGAAAACAAACCCTCAAAAAAAAAAAAAAAGTCTAATCCTTTAAGTAACTGCTTTCAGCAAACCGTATCTTAAGAGTATGATAAAGTAGATTCTGTTCCAGGAAGAAAATACTTGTAAGCAAAAGGCTAAAATTTAAATTAATGGATAACAAAAAAAGATGCAAAATTATTTAGTTTCTTTCATTTTAAAAGAAAAACACTAAAGAAAACAAAACTGTTTATATTTAAATCTGCAAAATATTAATGCAAAAGTAAAATTATTTATAGGTAGCTATTTCTGTAACCAGCTACAAAGCATTGACGAACAAAAAAGCAACAAGAGATCATGCTCTAAATTGTCAGGGAGGTGGTGGATATGTGAGAGGTAGTACTCAATAGGAACAGAGGAAACCTAAAGAATAGTACCCAGCAGAGCCGGCTTCGGTGAATCCAGTAAGGAAATTAAAATAATGCTAGCAACTGACATGAGAGTGCCCTGAATACAATAAAGGGAAACAATTTTGAGGACCCCCTACATTGCTTGCCTTATTGTACCATTTAAATTGCATTGCAGGTGAACAAGTAGCTGTCCTTTATAAAAATGAACGCACAACGCAGGACTAGTTGCTAGTGCACATGTACTGTTGCCTGTGAGCCCTACTACAAGCTATGAATTGTTCCAGTAAAAACAACACTATAAGGTACTTTAAAAAAAAATAATTCACAAAAATGGAAAGCCGCATCAAGGATTATAAAGAAAGGAACATTCCAACCACATTAACCACTACGGCCCATGTAATAGTTATGGTGCCAGGAGTACTCTGATGCTTTCCCATATTAAGAAGTCACAGCCTATCCTGCTATATGCTCGTCCATTTCATCTGGCCTTCTCTTGCAGGAGAACTAAGACAGCTCTACAGTCCATGCTGTTAGCCAATGAGTGTGGTCATGACTTTGTGCTAAGCAATTACATCTGACTTCGCCTAATAAAGAAGAATGTTAAAACAGCCATAATAAGAAAAAAAATCTACTTGTTTCAAATTTTAAAAAGCAGTATAAGCAACATAAAAACTGCAGCTCAGGATCAGGGCTGCGTTACCAAAAATAAATAGGTGCCGTTCTCCAACCTAGATTGCAGTGATAGATTAATAACCCTGGGGGGTTGAATTAGGCAGTGCTTTCCACCTATTTGTAAATTCAATATTATGGAGTTGGTTGAAGAGGGAGCAGCTTCTAGATGCCAGCTTGTGCAGTAGTTATGGTAGAAGTAGTTGTAATTATGTTAATTAGAAGGTCCCTTTAATGGACAACTATCCCTACAAAATCCTTATATGGCGCTTACCAATGAGATGTAATTATAGCTTAGCATAATATTAAAGATGGGTAAATAACATTTAAGAGCATAATATGGGTGTGAAAATATCTTAATTATCTGAGAGCTGCTATAATAGAAGAGAACAGGAAACTAAATTTTAATGTAAACTGGTTCAAGAATTAGACAAAGTTAAAAAAATAAATTAAAGGGGGTGGGGGGGGGGGAGGAAATTACACCTTCCAATTTTTCACTGGGGACAAACATTTTGGCAATAGTTTAGGCCATAGTTTCTGCATGCATCAATGGCATTGGGGAGGGAGTGGTGAGTGCAATATATTTATAGTCTAATTCACTGGATACAAAAAGCAAAGGAAAATGTGCGTTTTAGGGGGAAAAAATAAAAATGTATCTCTACCACCTGACTAACCAATTTAGTGAGACTTAGTAACAAGTCTAGAACACGATGTACTCAACCAGATTTGGAATCATTTAGGACCTGCAGCAAAACACACAGGTCAAATGTAATTAATATGTTATAGGAACACTCCAACCACCATAAACACTTCAGTTCTAAAACCGTATAAGAAAAATGTAACAACTTACCTGGGATCTGCCAAGTGCTTCCATCTCTGGCAAGAGATATTTTATTGCATTGCTACTTTTATAAGGTTTGTATTTTGTGTCTTCTTATTTGGAGCCATGATGCTCCTACAAGGATCCCTCTGTTAGCTCCCTTAAAGGGACACTGTAGGCACCCAGACCACTTCAGTTAATTGAAATTGTCTGGGTGCTGTGTCTTAATCCCTGGTGGTCCAGTGGCATGGGCTGTGAAGTGGGGGAGCCGGCAGGAAGCATTTACTTACCTTTCCTGCAGCTCCTGTCAGCTCCTTTCTCCTCCGTTCCGGTCAGCTCCACTGTAAGTCTCGCGGATCGTTGCCATGGCTCTGACGGCCGCGGCTCTCTAAGTTGCCATAATACAGACAGTGACTCGAGTATAAGTCGAGTGGGGGTTTTTAAGCACAAAAAATGTGCTGAAAAACTAGACTTATACTCTAGTATATACTGTATGCCAAAGAATTGAGGGTTGGAGAAAAACTATTATAAATAGATTTTTCTCCTAATCTACACAAATCTGTTAGCACAATGTATAGATAGAATTTAAAGCTTCTGAAAAAAAGCATAAGTTGTACCTGGCATGAGAGGTAACATTTAATGAAGAGATTTGGATGTATAGAATGAGTCCATGCACTACTCTATTCTCTGCCATTAAGGAGTTACTGTTAACAGAACATTTACAGAGACAAGATGTTGCAGAGGCTGTTTGAAGTAATGTCTAGAGACCTGGGGTTATATGTAAATATTGATTAGCTTGGGAAGCAGTTAAGCGGTTAATGTTAGAGGCAGGTGAAGGAACATGCTATAGAGAAAGATAGAAAGTGTGGATGTGTTAGTGGTAGCAAAAATTATGGAAGTGTTTGCTGAGGGAAAACAGGATGCAGGTATGAATCTGGAGAAAGAAGGAATGCAAATGAAGCTGGGAATCCACAAACATGCTTTCTGTAGGGAAATAGGGCAGATCAGGAGGTTATTTAAATGGTTTGATTATACAGTACATTGGGAAAAGTTAATATATTAAAAGAACAGTCCAAGCACCATAACTACTACAGTGTTCTGTAATGACAAGAGTGTCAGCAATGCTCTGGTGCTATCCCACAGTAAGACTTCAGGGAATAAAAGCAAACATGGGCATACAGTATGACAGTCACATTTCTCTAAGAGCTCTCATGTGTTAATTCTAGTACTCTGAATACAAACATTGCTCCAAGACAATAGTAACTGAATAACTTGCCTTATAATGCTAGACTACATGACAACGACACACAGTCATGGGAAAATAAATCATGACACAGCGATATGTAAAACCATAGATTTCACAGAGGTGTACTTTATATTTCCTATGAGGGAGTGTGAGTGTGTATGTGAGTGTAATCACCTAACCAGAACAATGACTCATCCTATGAGAGCACAAAGTGATGTTTTCTGTTGCAATTATTTACTTCCTTGTTTGCCCTTCTGGTCATAGTTTGGTAATTGGCTGCTTTGCAAAGACAAGACATCAGACCTAAAGCAAGATGCCTCCTTAAATAACATCAGGGTCCAAATCCTAAAAATATTACATATACGTGTTAAAATACATATACATATTATAGAACGCGACAGGTCAGGCAGAGGTAAATCGATAATGCAATCCAGTTATAAAGCGATGCATGTATCGCCACAAGAATATGGAGGTCTACACCAAGCTTCAATAAATAAGACTTATTTTTAAAGTAAGAGACTATGCAGTGTGACCGGTCACAAGCGCCAAGAAGAGCCAAATGACAGCTCATCACTGTAGGCTGCCCACCTCCCAATCGGAATGCCGACTAGGGAAGGAGGGAGGTGGTGTGTGCTAGTCAAAGGGTGGGGTTTGACAAGGGGAAGGCACATGGAGGTGCACAGACTTATTGGACATCGGGTAGGCAGGCAGATTAAAGTTTTGCACAGGATTCAAATCAGTCAGTCCACAACAGAGTTCCAGGCTGACTAAATCATGTGTGCCAGGGGTGTAATTACACTGACACACAAAATAAATTTCATTGTGTAGGCAGCGTTTTTAGCTGAAATGCTGCACATACAGATTTCTTTTAAATGACTACTTTTAAAAACAGAAGTGATCATGGATGTTGGAGAAACCCTTTAAAAGGACCACAATAGGCACCCAGACCACTTCAGCTCAATGAAGTGGTCTGGGTGCCAAGTCCCCCTAGTTTTAACCCTGCAGCTGAACGCGTAGCTGTTTCAGAGAAACGGCTATGTTTATACTGCAGGTTAATCCAGTCTCGAGTGACTGTCTCCCTGACAGCCACTAGAGTCCGCTTCTGCGATTTACACTAAGTAAATTGCACTAATCCGATACTGGACGTCCTCACGGAGTCCAATGTCAAATAAGATCCCCATTGAGTAATGCTTTCTTATGGGCGAGTTTGAATGCGCATTCGGCTCCACTCGGGAGTGGATGTTGGCGAGGGAGGAGAGTTCCCTTAGCGCTGAATCTAGGTAAGTAACTGAAGGGGTTTTAACCCCTTCATCGCCCAGGGAGGGGGGCGCCCCAATAACCTATAGTGCCAGGAAAACAGGTTTGTTTTCCTGGCACTATAGGATCCCTTTAAGCAAAGTATAGAAGGGACACACTAAAACAGAACTGCACATATCACAGAAAACCTTTCATACATCAAACATATGTACACGTGATCAACAATAAGAGGAAAGCAACTTAATGAATCACTAGGAATACAAATAAAGCGAAGCAGAATGTCACTCACACTGCAGACAAGCAACCCTGTTCAAATAATCTCTTTACCTTTAATAGGAGGCAAAGATAAAACATAGCATCTAACAATTAACAGATTATATATATAAAAAAAAAATTAAAAACTATTTCAGGTACTTTCAATACTATAGGTAAAGGTGTATTTTATGTGCAAACCAATATTTGTAACAAACATTACAGTCAGCAAGCAACTTGTTTTAGTTAAAGGGACAATATTCCGAACCAGGACTCAACCTCATCAGTACTAGAAAATAATCCAAACATAGAAAACCACTTCCTATATGCTATAGAGAAATGTGTTGCTGGTGTGCATTATTTGCAAGCAATTACTTCAGATACCCTTGTGAACTGTATAATAGTTGGTGATTTAAAAAAAAAAATTTAAATAATCTGTACGGGACACTATGGAAAAAATAAATGTATCTTCATGCTCTATATAAAAAGTGGTAGTATTGACAATCAGACTGATAAGACACTTTGATGCAAAGCATAATTTATTAGTCTTGTGTAGATTATCAATATTGGACATGTAGCCAGGTCAATGATTATGTAAACAGTCCATTTTTGAAAAATATTTGTTTGCACATTTTTATGTGGACAAATTGTGAAGGAATAAATAAGAATACAGTGCCTTGCAAAAGTACTCACCCCCTTGGCAATTTTCGTGTTTTGTTGCCTCACAACTTGGAATTAACATGGATTGTTTGAGGATTTGCATCATTTAAATTTACAGAACATGCCCACAACTTTGAAGATTTTTTTTTATTTATTTTTTTTATTATGAAGCAAACAACAAATAGGACAAAACAACAGAAAAGGTCAATGTGCATAACTATTCACCCCCTCAAGTCAATACTTTGTAGAGCCACCTTTTGTGACAATCACAGCTGGAGGATGGTTTGCACTTGTGAACAGCAATCTTTAAGTCTGACTACAGATATTCTATTGGAGTGAGGTCTGGGCTTTGACTAGGCCATTCCAACACATTTACATGTTTACCCTTAAACCACTCAATTGTTGCTTTAGCAGTGTGTTTGCGGTCATTGTCCTGCTGAAAGGTGAACCTCCATACTAGCCTCAAATCATGCACAGAGTGGTACAGGTTTTGCTCAAGAATATCCCTGTATTTAGCACAATCTTCTTTCCCTCAACTCTGAACAGTTTCCCAGTACCGGATACTGAAAAACATCCCCACAGCATGATGCTGCCACCACTGTGTTTCACTGTGGGGATGGTGTTCTTTGGGTGATGTGTTGGGTTTGCGCCAGACATAGCGTTTTCTTTGATGGCCGAAAAGTTACATTTTAGTTTCATCAGACCAGAGCACCTTCCTCCATACATTTTGGGAGTCTCCTACATGCCTTTTCACAAACTCAAAACGTGCCATTTTGTTTTTGAAAGTAATGGCTTTCTTCTGGCCACTGTGCCATAAAGCCCAACTCTATGAAGCGTACGGCTTATTGACGTCCAATGTACAGATACTCCAGTCTCTTCTGTGGACCTTTGCTGCTCCTCCAGGGTTACCTTAGTTCTCTGTGCTGCCTCTCTGATTAATGCCCTCCTTGCCCGGTCCGTGAATTTTGGTGGGCGGCCGTCTCTTGGCAGGTTTGTTGTTGTGCCATGTTATTTCCATTTGGTTATGATAGAATAGATGGTGCTCCTGGGAATAATTAAAGATTTTGATTTTTCTATAACCTAACCCTGACTTGTACTTCTCAAGAACATTGAACCTTACTTTTTTGGAGAGTTCCTTGGTCTCCATGGCAGTGTTTGGTTATTGGTGCCTCTTGCTTAGGTGTTGCAGCATCTGGGGCCTTTCAAAAAAGGTGTGTATATGTAATGACAGATCATGTGACACTTAGATTGCACACAGGTGGAAATCATTTCACTAATGTGACTTCTGAAGGTAATTTAATTGGTAGCACCAGAGCTTTTTATGGGTTACATAACAAAGGGGGTGAATAGATATGTACATGCCAATTTTCTGTTATCTATTTCTAAAAAATATTTTTATGTATATCATTTTATCATTTCACTTCACCAATTTAGACTATTGTGTTCTGATCGATCACATAAAATTGAGATTAACAAAACAATGAACTTAAGGCTATAATGTAACAAAATAGGAAAAAAGTCAAGGGGGTGAATACTTTTGCAAGGCACTGTATATGTATTAAAAGGAAGGACCCATTGACTACAGAAGTTCATTAAAAGGACCACTATAGGCAACCAGACCACTACAGCTCAATGGGTGCCAGGTCCCTCTCGTTTTAACCCTGCAGATGAAAACATAACAGTTTCAGAGAAACTGCTATGTTTACACTGAGAGTTAATTAAGCCTCTAGTGGCTGTCTCACTGTGGAGGAAGAGAGTTTCCCAGCACCGAGGGAGCCCAGCCCTGGAGAAAAGTAAGTGGCTGAAGGGGTTTTAACCTCTTCAGTCCAGCAGGAGGGGGGCCCATGAGGGTGGGGGGGACCTAAGGACAAGTTTGTTTTCCTGGCACTATAGTGGTCCTTTAAAGGATTTGCATAAGCAAATAGCTGTCAACAGAAAGGAGTGGCTGTATTTGAGAGGGCACTGCACTTTTTATGTCCAAGGAGTAGAGATTAGAACATACTATAAATTAGTTCCGTAACTTAGACATACAGGTCAAAGTACACAAGAAGACTTGAAATTGTACTACAATTGACGCACTCTTAAAAAATTACACTAATTAAACTTGCTTTATTGTTAGAAGATAAATAACGTATATACCTTTTGAACACTTTGAGAGTGTTTATCGCTCTGCTTAAAGAAACACTCCAAGCACCATAACCACCACTGCATGCTGTAGTAGTAACGGTGCCAGGAGTAACCTGGTGCCCTTCCAATTTAAAGGGACACTGTGGTCACCAGAATCTCTATAGCTTATTCTAGTGGTTCTAGTGTCTATAGCCAGTTTCTGAAGGCTTTTTTTCAGTTTAAAATCTGCCTTTTCAGAGAAAGCAGTGTTTACATGGCTGCCTAGAAACACCTCTAGCGGCAGTCACACAAAGAGCCATTAGAGGTGCTTCCTATTCCAGTGTGCAGCACCTACATTCAGCGTCTCAATGCAGAGGGTGGAAGTACTAAACTATCCCCATAGAGATGCATTTATTCAATGAATCTCTATGAGGAGTTGCTGACTGGCGCAGCCTTTTTCTGTACAGTGGCCTCCCAAAGCTGGCCTATGGGAAAGCATTGGATTGGTTGAAATTATCAAGATTTGTTATCTCAGCCATGGAAGTGGGACCAGCCGAAATAAAAGGTGAGCTGAACACCTTTTCACTGCAATCTGATAGAGGGCTATTTTTAGTGTGTGTGGTCTAACCACACGTTTAATACTTTTCTAGATTAGACTCATGAGTACTCAACAAATGCCAGTATTTCCATGCATTGTAAAATGACAATACAGCAGTTACCCAAGCTAACAGTAGAGACTTGCATGTGTTTGGCAAAGGCATGTATATATGGTCCTTATGGGGCACAGCAACAAGTGATCTCCTTGAACAAAGCTCATTGCAAGGCATGTATGGTGTGGAATACCCCCCCTTATATTGGGTAAAACTTTCAAAATAGTTACACAGTTTCATATATTGATCGATTTCAAACTACCTGTTGTGAAACTCAATATGCAATGACTATTTTGGAGAATCACTGAAACCACTGCCTATTTCCTGCTTTCCGTTCAAGTTTGTTAGAAAGACTGGAAGAAGATGAATGTTAGAGAAATAAAGGCAACTTGCGATCTTACTGAGGTATATGTTCTCAAAACAAGTATTGATTCTCCATCCATCTGAAATCATTTTTTATTGAAATAAAAGTGCAAGTATGTATACAATATTAAGAGCCCTTAAGTAATTTTATATATTATAGCAAAATGTATATCTGACAAACTTCAGGGTTACAGGTTTGATTCTCAGACTGATTCAGCATTTTCTACTTGCATTGTCACATCATACCCCACCACCCCCACCCCGCACATATACAGAAATGTGTTTGGACATCACATTTTCTCTTAAGTGAGAGGAATCAATAGCTTTCTTACCACAAATACGCAGGAGTTGTTATGGCAAGAGAATGCATAACACAATTATTTGAACAGAGGTCCTATAGATTGGAGCAGTAACATGCTCTCTGGACTAGTAATAAAAACGTGAAATTGGTTGGAGTGAAGGACAAAAGTATACGGCAGGGTTCTTTTGCCAATTTGGAAGAGTGGCTGAGTCTTTCCTTTGCAGAACTGTATTACTGCAGTGTCATGAATTTGCCAAGCTAGATGAAGCACAGAACAGAAATGTTTAGCATTAACAAAACATTTAAAACTAAACAAATTCTCAGGGCATGTTTAGCCAACAAGCAACCTGCACACATTCTCCCCGAAAAAAGACAAAGCAGAGCTATCCAGACAACTCCTGGCTTATGCATCCCAAATAATTTACAATACAAAACCTCTTTAGGAGTTAAGAGAGGGAGATTAACATGAGTTACTGCTTTTAGCAAACATCAAAACAATGTGCTAGCTTTCTGCCAAAGAGGAGAATCAGACTTGGATAACCACACTGAGCACAAAAACTGACAAGTGTTTTTTTTTTTTTTTTTTTAAATCAGAACTGCATTTTCCCACCAAAGTGGACTTCAGTCAGAGGAAGTGATTTAATGATAGAACATTTCAGTTGCTGCACATCAACAATGAAGCCAACAGGTTGAAATTATCTTTCATCAAAAGAAAGCAACTGTTTCAATTAAAGGAACACTGAACACTATAATCACTAAAGAGTGTAATGGTTATGGTGGCAGGGATGTCCTGATGCCACTCCTGTAAGTAGTCATTTGATAATTATTGATAGCGTGTTTCTGCTGCTGCGCATTAACAATGAACATATTTTTTTAATCTTACATCAAAAGAAAGCAACTGTTCCAATTAAAAGAATACTCCGAATACCATAACCACTAGTGGGATGTAATGGCTATGGAACCAGGAGTGCCCCCACACCATTTGATAATGCTATGACTCCTATAATTACCGGTACCTGCATCCCAGAAGCATTCTTTCCAAGTTAAACCCTGAACCTGGGTGTTTGTCAAGCTCTTCAGCACTGGCCACCTTAGCGCCCCGCCTCACGAGGTGGGCAGCTGTACAGAATGGATGTGGGCGGTTGTAAGAAATGGGAGCTGTAATCTTCCTGTACTTATTGCTTTGCTCCTTCGAAAGATGATCAGCTGTGCCAGGTTATGATAACATTTTGACCCCCGCATCATTAAAGGGCGTGCAACTGAGCAGAGCAAGAATAGCTTGAAGATTTCAGGATCATAGCAGGTACACTGGAAGCTAAGGAAAGGATGCCCTCTAGCTCTCCCAAAGGTAGGGAGGCTGGGTGGATATACATTTAATTAAAACAATGTGTGAGTGTGTAAAAGAATGTAAATGCACGTGTGTGTCTGGGTAACCAACCCCTTCCCCTCCGATCACACGCAAAAGGTGTTTTTACTCCCCCTTTTCCCCGCACAGTGGTGGCCTTACCGCAGTTGACCCCGCCTCCATTGGCGGAGATTATTAATTTTTATGATCTCATCCAACGCTTATCCATACGAAAGCGTTTTTTTTTAAAAAACAGGCTCCTAGATTCAAGGAAAATTGTCACGTCCTGCTCTAGAAGTAAAGACATCTAACTGAACATCAATGAACTATTTAAACAAGTATTTTATTTTTTTTGCATGTCAGTTGCATAGCATAATTTTCTTTTTAGAGCTGCTATGGGCTAAAGAGTACAGCTGTACACTTTTCAAATTAGCAATGTTTCCCTACATAAAACAAAAAGGACTCGCTTAAACATGCACAATGCAGCTGGTTGTGGCTTTTGTTCACTTCTTCATGCAGCTACCACTGATTTTCATCAAGAAGATGGGGATCTGCAACTTTCAGTATTTATGTGAATGGAAGTCCCATTCTGTTGTATAGAGAAATTACCTAGCATGCAACCTGAGTGATTCTCCCTTACAAAACCAGGAATTTCAACCACTTCCTGGTAAAATCAAGAGGCCAGGACTTTGTTACATGGCAGACACATTCATAGATATCTGTTTAATTGTTATCTACCGGTATGCACTACACTTAAATGTGCTAAAATCCAAGCTATAGTGTACCCCACAAAAAAAAAATTACAATATTTGGAAAAGTTCTCAAACTCCGCTATGGTCACAGATCGACTATTTTTAGATTAATATTAAATTTTGCTGTTCGCCATCAATTCAATAAGACTCAAAGTTTAGTGAATAAACCCCTGTTTATGTCCAAACTAACTTGAAGTCACTAAAAAGACCTTCAAAACAAATTTCCGATGTCATCAGAAAGAGAATAAAAAAAAAAAAAAAAAATTAAACAATAAGCAGAGCTTGCAGATCCATTTCAATATTTTTTTTTTCAGTGATGACCTTGGAATATTGAGCAGATTCCACTGGCATTAGGTAATTCAACACCTTTGGGCCCCTTTAAAAGAAATCCCTTAAAGGTTAAAAACCTGAATACCTTCCAAAGCCACAAATCATCTTAAGATTGCCAGGTATGAGATAGCGAGGTCTAAGTAAAATTAGGTATGACATTTGTTTGCTGTCTAGCACAAAATATCACTAGTACTAATTAAGTCCAAAGCTTTTATCCAGTGGCCATAAATTCACAGTGTAGCTGTACCTGTCCATTGCACACGTGAGACTTATTTGCAATAAAATATTAGCAGTAGAGTTGCAGAATGCACAGCTCTGACAGCCAGGCCTAGTCTAAATCACAAATTTGTGAACAGCAGATGGGCTACAAGTTAATAAATACTGATGTTTGTTCGTTTTAACTTCTTTGTGAAACCTATAACATTCAAGAAAAAAAAAAAAAAGTGACAACAGCATTCAAGTTTAGTTCAGTGTGGCAAGAAGTATTAAAAGGAACTAAAGACATTCAGTAATATAATATTGTGAGAAGTTTCCAAGGAGTTGCAGATTAACCAGATCTATGACAGGAGGTTACTTTGAGATTTTAGATAAAGAGAAAGGGTGATCAAGGTATACATTTACAGCAGTACAGTGTGCAGTAAACGGCAAGTGTACATACAGTATGTAACAGCATTTTAGCCACTAATGATGAGAAGTTGGAGCAAAATTCCACAGGTATGTATGCCAACTTTAATTACACATGTGCCTATGCACATACAAGACTAGGCTCAGGAAAAGGAGTTCCTTCTCTAGCAAAAGGAATGTTTGCTCAACTAGAACACTGCTTTTGTTTGTATGCAGAGGTTTAACTATTAAAAAACAAAACACATATCAAGTATACAACCAGTCAATATTATTTCAGATGTATTATATACTAATGTATATCAAACTTGTTCATGAGATGCCAAAGCACAACAAATGATGTGACAAAATTCATCTAAGTGTATAGAACAGATTTATAAGGGACATTATTTGGAATTCATAGCAAGTCTGCAATGGACAATTGAAACATATTTCAGAAAATTTTAACATAAGTATTTTAAATTACAAAAATGTATTACACAAATTAAGACATATGTTCCTCACTTTTAGACATAAAACATTGCGTGAAGTCCAGGGCACTAATCAATGGTCCACCAGCCCTTTAAACAATGAAGTCTAAAGAGTCAAAGGGAGGCATACTAACACTGATCAGTATCATTTTAAGCCATAGTATTAGATGGATACAGTACATAAACCATATTGACCAGTCTATAGCCATAATTGTAAGTTTCAGACAAAATATATGAATCTAAATAACTGATACAGGACACAACATTAGCATGCACCATGCACAATGACATGAATAACATTAAACTCCACAACATTAAAAGTGTCCAGAAGACTCATCAACTGAATACCAACCTAACCCCAAATAGAAGAGGTGTCCTGAGGAGGTACAATAGTAATATGACACCATCCATAAACTCACTACAAGATTTCAGAAGAAACTGAATTGTCTGAATACTAGCCATTGAACACAATAAGTGACTGGAAGAGACATACGAAGCTGTACATAAGCTATTAATTCCAGGATATTATAGGGGGTCCGGATGAGATATGTTAACCTGAATACTAGGCATTAAACTCAACATCAGAGATGCCCAGAGGCCATTTTAACTTGAACATGAACCACTACACCAGTTATATCTGGTGGCCATAGGCACCTTAACATGATCCCATACATCCACAGTTCAAGATGGTCCAGAAAGACAGATTAAACTGGACATTAGTCATTAAACCCTGATTATTATCAGAGGGGGTTCCAGAGACAGTCATTAAACCCTGGATATTATCAGAGGGGGGTCCAGAGACAGTCATTAAACCCTGGATATTATCAGAGGGGGTTCCAGAGACAGTCATTAAACCCTGAATATTATCAGAGGGGATCCAGAGACAGTCATTAAACCCTGGATATCATCAGAGGGGGTTCCAGAGACAGTCATTAAACCCTGGATATCATCAGAGGGGGTTCCAGAGACAGTCATTAAACCCTGGATATCATCAGAGGGGGTTCCAGAGACAGTCATTAAACCCTGGATATTATCAGAGGGGGATCCAGAGACAGTCATTAAACCCTGGATATTATCAGAGGCGGTTCCAGAGACAGTCATTAAACCCTGGATATTATCAGAGGGGGTTCCAGAGACAGTCATTAAACCCTGAATATTATCAGAGGGGGTCCCAGAGACAGTCATTAAACCCTGAATATTATCAGAGGGGGTCCCAGAGACAGTCATTAAACCCTGGATATTATCAGAGGGGGTTCCAGAGACAGTCATTAAACCCTGGATATTATCAGAGGGGGTCCAGAGACAGTCATTAAACCCTGGATATTATCAGAGGGGGTCCCAGAGACAGTCATTAAACCCTGGATATTATCAGAGGGGGTTCCAGAGACAGTCATTAAACCCTGGATATTATCAGAGGGGGTCCCAGAGACAGTCATTAAACCCTGGATATTATCAGAGGGGGTCCCAGAGACAGTCATTAAACCCTGAATATTATCAGAGGGGGTCCCAGAGACAGTCATTAAACCCTGAATATTATCAGAGGGGGTCCCAGAGACAGTCATTAAACCCTGGATATTATCAGAGGGGGTTCCAGAGACAGTCATTAAACCCTGGATATTATCAGAGGGGGTCCAGCAGACTCGGATTGCCCTGACTCAGGGGGTTTATCAATGTATTAACATATGACAGGAGGCCGTGATACCTCCTCCCTCCCTCCCTCCCTCCCCCAGCCTGGCCCTGGCCGCTCACCTGCATCCCAGGGACTTGGACAGCTACCGGGGAGTGAGCCATGGCGGCGGCGGCGGCTGCTAAGGCCTCCTGCTCCGGCTGTGCTGTGAGGGCTCCGGGGCTGGGCCCGAACTGCTGTCTGTGTGCGGCTCCGGAGCTCAGCTGGCTGGCTAGGGCTGTCCGGCGGGCGCTGCGAGCATGTCTCGGTGAAGGAGGAGGGGGCTGCGGGGCCGGGAGCTGGGGCAGCTCAGCAGGTTAGCGGCGCCATGTTGGGAGAGGACGGGAGGACTTGCTGCAACTGCTGATGCGCAGGGTGGAGCCGGAGCCCGACTAAAGCTGGTCACGTGATGCGGCGGTGATGCAGCTTGGCCCCGCCCCCCGTTCTATTATTATTCTTATCAATGTAGGAACAGCCTGGTCTTAGCTCCTCCCCCCTCTCTTATGCTCACCCAGAGCTCTGTACCAGGGCAGCTTCTGGTACCCTGTGTGCTGCTTACTGGGGCTACTCAGCACTGCCAAATATTAATATAGGAATAAAAATAATATATCTGTGCCCAGAGCTGATTATATCACTTACCTGTAACCAGGGCTGATTATATTACTTACCTGTAACCATGGATGATTATATCACTTACCTGTAATCATGGCTGATTATATCACTTACCTGTTCTCTGTTAAATTTATATATGCGTATATGCTTATTTTGTATTTTTAATATTATATTGTACCTTGTTTTAACAATGGAATGTTTACGGACCCAGGACATACCTGAAAACAAGACAAATCTCAATGTATCCCTCCTGGTAAAATATTTTCTAAGTAAATAAAATAAATCTATGTAATTTTCTTTACATGGGTAGACAGGATATTAGAAGTGCTGCCATGCAGAATGTGGCAAACATACGCTGCAGGAGGTGATTGAATTAAGGATTGTTTTTCAATTTTATTACCGTTAAGTACCAGGGCTGTTTTTACATTTCTGCGGTGTTTGTGTTTAGCTGTAATTTTCCTCTTACTCATTTACTGTACCCACACATATTATATACAGTTAAATGGTCTTTTTATCATATATAATTTACTATAAAAAAAATATAAAATATGATGAAAAATCTAAAAAAAAACACACTTTTTCTAACTTTGACCCCCAAAATCTGTTACGCATCTATAACCGCCAAAAAACACCCGTGCTAAATAGTTTCTAAATTTTGTCCTGAGTTTAGAAATGCCCAATGTTAACATGTTCTTAACTTTTTTTGGAAAGTTATAGGGCTATTAGTACAAGTAGCACTTTGCTATTGCCAAACAATTTCTTTTCAAAATTAACGCAACAATTGTAACACTGATATCTGTCAGGAATCCTTGAATAACCCTTCAAATGTATATCTTTTTTAAAAGAAGACAACCTAAGGTATTAAACGTGGGGTATTTTGAATCTTTTCATGCAGCCATTTTACCACCAATCTTTGCCAAATTGAAAAAAAAAAATAATAATAATTGGTGATTTTTTTTGACACACATAGCAATTTAAGAATACATGTACAGAGAACTTTAAGGGTTACTGCCAAAGAACACCCTAATATGTGTTCAGCAACATCTCTTGAGTACAGTGATACCCCCCCCATCCCAGTGGCGGATCAAGAGCCTGATCTCACGAGAGGCACTTGTAGATTATTTAAAGAAATAATCCATGCACAATAACCACTACAGCTCTGTTTTGTGGTTATGGTACCAGGAGTGCCGGGACTCCATCCCAGAGTAAGTAGTCAAACCGTTTAAGAACAGTTTGACAACTTACCTGGAGTCTGCTGGGATATGGGGCTGTAGTAGGGCATAGGAGCAGTGGTGTGTGTGAGTGGTGCAATGTGTGAGGGGTGCAGCGTGTGTGAAAGGTTCAGTGTGTGTATGGGGGCAGTGTGTGTGTGTATGGGGCAATGTGTGTATGGGGGGCTGTGTGTGGGGGGGCAATGTGTGTATGGGGGCTGTGTACGTGTGTGTAGTGCAATGTGTGTATGGGGCGCTGTGTTGTATGGGGGTGCAGTGTATGTGTGTATGTGGTAATGTGTGTATTGGTGGGCAGTGTGTGAATGTGTATGGTGTGTGAGGGCAGTGTGTGAATGTGTATGGTGTGTGTGGCGGGAGCAATGTGTGCATAGGGAGCTGTGTATGTGTGTGTATGGGGGGCTGTGAGTGTGCGTATGAGTGGGCAGTGTGTGTGTGGCAGTGTATGTGTGTGTGGGACAATGTATGTATGGATGGGCAGTGTATGACTGTGTATGGTGTGTGTGTGGGGGCAGTGTGTGTATGGGGGGCAATGTATGTGTGTATGCGGCAATGTGTGTGGGGGGGAATCTGTGTATGGGGGCTGTGTATGTGTGTGGGGCAATGTGTGTATGGGAGGCAGTGTGTGTATGGCTAGGCAGTATATGTGTGTGGGGGGGGCAGTGTATGTGTATGGGGGCAATGTGTGTATGGTGTGTGTGGGGGCAGTGTGTGTATGGGGTGCAGTGTATGTTTGTGGGGGGCAGTGTGTGAATGTGTATGGTGTGTGTGGCACTGGCGGATCCAGAGTCTCATCTCGGGAGGGGCACCCATAGATTATTTAAAGAAACAATCCAGGCACAGTAACCACTACAGCTCTCTGTAGTGGTTATGGTGCCAGGAGTGCCGTGGCGCCCTCCCAGAGTAAATAGTCAAACGGTTTAAAAACAGTTTGACAATTTACTTGGGGTCTGCCAGGATAGGGGCTGTAGTAGGGGATAGAGCCTCTAGTAGTGTGTGTGTGTGAGAGAGTAGGCAGTGTGTGTGTGTGTGTGTGTGTGTGTGTATGGGAGGCACTGAGTGTGTGAAGGATGCAGGGTGGGTATGGGAGACAGTGTGTGAGGGGTGCAGAGTGTGTGTACAGGAGGCAGTGCATGTGGGCCAGTGTGTGTAGAGGGGTGCAGTGGGAGCACTGTGTGTTTGTGTGAGGGGTGTAGTGTGTGCATGGGAGTGCAGTGTGTATATGTGAGGTGCAGTGGAAGCACTGTGTGTATGGGCCAGTGTGTGTATGAAGGTGTAGTGGTGGCAGTGTGTTTATGGGAGTGCAGTTGGGGAAGTGTGTGTATGTGGGTGCAGTGTGTGTGTGTGTGTATGGGGTAGATGTGTATGGGGGTGTAGTGTGTGTGGGGGGAGAAGTGTGTGAGGGTGTACTGTTTGTGTGGGGGAGCACTGTGTGTGTGTGGGGGTGCAGTATGTGCAGTGTTTGTATGGGGAGCACTTTGTGTATGTGGGGTGCAGTGTTTGTATGGGGAGAAGTGTGTGTGTGTGGGGTGCATTGTTTGTATGGGGAGCACTGTGTCTATGTGGAGAAGTGTGTGTGTGTGGAGGGTGCAGTGTTTGTATGGGCAGCACTGTGTGTATTTGGGGTGCAGTGTTTGTATGGAGAGCACTGTGTGTGTGTGTGGGGGGGCAGTGTTTGTATGGGGAGCACTGTGTGTATGTGGGGTGCACTGTGTGTATGGGGAGAAGTGTGTGTGTGGGGGGCAGTGTTTTTATGGGGAGCACTGTGTGTATGTGGGGTGCAGTGTTTGTATGGGGAGCACTGTGTGTGTGGCTGGAGCATGCATGGGGGCTGTAGGGCATCAGTATGGGGGGGCCATGGGGCAGTGCATGGGGGGGCTATGGGGACAGTGTGTATGGGGGCATGTGGGGGCAGTTTGTTTGGTGGGGCAGTGTGTATGGGGGTTGGTGGGCAGTGTGCATGTGGGTTATGGGGCAGTGTGTATGGGGGGGTTGGTGGGGTGTGCATGGGGTTATGGGGGGCAGTGTGTATGGGGGTTGGTGGGGGCAGTGTGTATGTACAGTGTGGGGCAGTGTGTATGGATTATGGGGGCAGTGTGCATGGGGGGGTTATGTGGGGCAGTGTGTATGGGGTGGGCTGTGGGGGCAGTGTGTATGGGGTTATGGGGGCAGTGTGTATGTGGGTTGGTGTGGGGCAGTGTGGCATGGGGGTTATGGGGTGTGTATGTGGGTTATGGGGACAGTGTGTATGGGGGGTTATGGGGGGCAAGAAAAAAGTGTGGGGTTATGGGGCAGTGTATGGGGGGTTGGTGGGGGGTAGTGTGTGTATGGGGCTGTGGGGGCAGTGTATGGGGGTTATGGGCAGTGTATGGGGTCAGGGGCATTGTGTATGGGGGGCTATGGTAGCAGTGTGTATGGGGGCATGTGGGGGCAGTTTGTTTGGTGGGGCAGTGTGTATGGGGGGCTGTGGGCAGTGTGTATGGGGGGCTGTGTAAAACAAATGTTTTATTTTTTTTTTTTTATTAATAAAATATTATTTCTAATCCCCCCTCCCTTCCTACCTTTGCCCAGGGAGGGGGGATATCGCTTGGAATCCCTGGTGGTCCGGTGGAATCCCTAGTGGTCCAGTGGTGAGAGTGAACTCTAGCCTGCACCTCCTGAGGCTAGAGTTCACTCTCGCGAGAACAGAGCGTTGCCGTGGTAACCGCGGCAACGCTCCGTTCTCGCGAGAGGAGACCCGGCGGAGCTGCAGGCTAGAGCTCCTCCCGGGTCTCCTCTCTGTCCTGGCTGCCCAGTAATGTGCCTGCGGACCGATGAGGGAGATCTCTGATCTCCCTCCGGTCCGTGAAGGCACTTAGCAGGGCCGGCGCATTGACAGCACCGGCCCTGCAGGAGAGAGCATCGGCTCTCGGGGGGGGCAATTGCCCCGTTGCCCCCCCCCCGGATCCGCCACTGGTGTGTGGGAGGGCAATGTATGTGTGTGTGTGGGACAGAGTGTATATGGGGGTGCAATGTCTGTAGGGGGGGCAGTGTGTGACTGTGTGGTAAGGAGGGTGGGGGGGGTTATATAAATATATATATATTTTTAATAAAAATAAATAAATGCATGTCCCCCCTCCCTTCTTACCTTTACTGAGGGAGGAGGGTGGACATTTCTCGATACCTGGTGGTCCCATTGGCGAGAGTGAACTCTGATAACCACGGCAAGGCTCTGCTCGCGAGAGTAGGACCCGGAGGAGCTGCAGGCTGAACTCCCGGGACCTCTCTGCGGACTAGGGAGGGAGATCACTGATCTCTGATCTCCCCTCCGGTCCTTGAAGGCACATTGCAGGGCTGATGCTTGGACAGTGCCAGCCCTGCATTAGCCAGCAGGGGGGAGCCTCGGGGCGGGGGGGGGGATTCCAGTTTTCCAACTTGAAATTTTCTCAGCTGGTCATCATGAACCCATGTCCTATATGGGACATTTTTGAAGCTGGGTAATGTAATTTACCCCCATCAAACCATATATTTTTGAAAAGTAAACACCCTAGGGTATTTCAAAT